TGAGTGAGCACTGCTTTAAACCAGAACATAGCATTGTCCAGTGAAAAGAGTTGGGAGCGGTGGCTCACACCTGTAATCCCGGCACTCTGGGAGGCCAAGGCAGGAGGATCGCTTGGAGCCAGGAGTTTGAGACCAGCCTGGGCAACATAGCAAGACCCCTGTCTGTGCAAAAATCGAAAAAAAAATTTTTTTAAAAAAAGATATAAAGGCTGGGGGTCCCAGGCATTGAATGATGCTGGGGTCCTCATTCTGGCTGTGGATTGGGGTCTCCTGTCTTGGGGGCAGCCCTGTGACCGGGTCTGCTCTGCCCACAGCATTCCTTGTCCTGTTGTGCTTTGGGGGCTTCCTCCTCTGGAAGAACTGGCGGCTCAAGAACATTAACAGCATCAACTTCGACAACCCCGTGTACCAGAAGACCACGGAGGACGAGGTGCATTTCTGCCGCAGCCAGGACGGCTACGCCTACCCCTCGGTGAGCACTCCCCCGGGGAGGCTGGAGCCCGTGGCGGCCCCCACCCGGCTCAGGGCCTGAGTCAAATTCTCAAGGGCCGAGTCTGAGACACCCCCGGTCCGCTGGGTGGAAGCTTCTGGATGCTCTCCCAGAATGGCAGTGGACATTCTCCTGATGGGAGAAGAGGGACATCAGATAAGTAAATAGATCAAATCAGACGGGGAGGGAACAAAAAAAGTCAGTTCAGAGAAGGATTTGTGGGGGCAGAAAGGAAGGGGGTGTGATTTTAGACAAGGGGGTCAGGGCAGGCTTCTCAAGAGTGGTTTTCAAAGAAAACAGCCTGTGCAAAGGTCCTGAGGCTGGACCGTGCCTGGCATGTTTGAGGAGGCCAATGTGGCTGGAGCAGAAGAAAAAGAGAGAAAAGGGGAGAGAGGGAGGAGGTGACCAGGTAGGCCCCTGTGAGCCACTGCTGAGGACTTTGGCTTTAACCCTGAATGAGGTGGGAGCCATGGAGGGTTCTTGAGCAGAGGAGGGAAGTGACTTGCTTGGGTGTTCACAGGCGCCCTCTGGTGGCCATGGTGGGAACAGATGGTGGTGGTTCAGGACATGACAAATAGCCATCCCGGGCTGTGTTTCCTGAATGTGGTTCTGATCGTTTCCGGCGTTTACCATTTTGTTGACAGAGACAGATGGTCAGCCTGGAAGATGACGTGGCGTGAACACTGGCCTCGCGTCCTGGCCCTCCCCGGAACCTCCTGCCACTTGGCGGCAGGAAGAACACTTTCTCCCGAGACCCTGCACCGACTGCCCCCTTCCCTGCCCAGCGCCCTTCCTGAGGCCTCCTTGACGTTCAAGTTCAAGTTCACGGCCTCCAGCTTCATTCAAAGAAAGAAAAGACCAAAAGTGCCGCCGGCAGCCGAAGCCCCGAGGCCTGTCCGCCAGCCAGAGTTCTGTTTTATATATTTATTCATCTGGGGGGCCCCGCAGGCTTCTGACGGCACCCACGAAATGGGTTTCGGTTGGGATTGTTGGTTTCTTTCTTTCTGTATAAAGGGGAAGGGGGAGAGGCCCCGGGAGCTGGGGCGGCATCTCCGTTTCTCTCGGGGGAACATTGGAGCTTCTCTGCGCCTCCACTCGCCCCCCCGCGTGGAGGACAAAAGGACAGGGCTTTGAACATGCGACGACCGGGCCCCAGGCACTGCTGCACGCGCGGTGTGTAGGCGGAGCCCCCAAACTCAGGCGTCAGTGTGTTTACCTCGACCTGCAGCCTGGCTGGGCAGCCCGACTTAGCCTCTGCCCTGTCACCCCCAGATCAGGGTCCACTCAGTGTCTTTCAAGCCGGTGCGTGCCTTCCTCAAGCCAGGAAAGGGACTCGTGGCGTCATCCGTACTGATCTAGTTGAATCCACAGTGCCGGGGGTGGCACCAGCCGAGACCAATTCGTTCGCCGAAACTGTTCCAGTTCCCGCAGGGAAAGCCTGAGTCACCGGTCACCCTTAATATTTATTAAGTGCCTGAGACACCAGTTACCTTGCGCATGAGGACACGCGGCTTGCGCCCTCCCGGAGCGCCCTGCAGCCCGGGTGTGGCCGGCAGGACCCCAGCCTCGCGTCCGCCCCCACCCCAGACCCTTCCGTTCCTTTCGTCTCCTCGCACTTTCTCAGTTCAGGGTTGAACTCGTGTCACTGCGACAGTTTCGCGTTTGTGTTACTATTTTGCACTGTTCCCGGCGTGTGCGTTGGGATGGGCTCCCAGGCTAGAGACAGCCGTGAGTCGATGCTTGTGGAGGACGGAAGTCAGGTCAAAGCCACGGTCACGATTATCTAGAAACGCCGTTTTTCTTTTTTTCTTGATGTCTGCCCGCCCGGCTGGCCTTTCTACTTCTATGCAAATGCCACTCAGCCACTCACGTCCCCCGATCCTGCCGGCGACGGGTGCACATCTGGAACACGCGTGGCGTTTCTGTAGCCCTCCCATCTCGGTCGTTGGATGGCACTTCTGAAACAAGACTTCTTTCTGAAATTGCCACAAATGCCATGGTCACATAGATGATCCAAGAGGCAGTGGCGGCCGCCCTGAGATTCCTGCTTGGAAATGTCACAGGGCACTGGCCGTGGTTCACGACCGGAGGACCAAACACTGTGCCCCGCCCTCAGCAAACCGCGAGGAGCCTTTCTCTCTCTGAAGCATGCGCATGGGTCCCTGTACCGACAGCGGGGCCTTCTGTTTTGTTTGCACTTTGAAACCGTCGTCACTTATGTATGTGTATATATATATAAAATCTATTTATTTTTGCAAACCCTGGTTGCTGCGTTTGTTCAGTGACTGCATTCGGGGCAACTGTCTCTGAGATGCCTTGTCTTTATGTACAAAGATCGTTTGCACGGACCAGACCGTGTGCCACGCTTTGCAGGGCAGTGACGTCCGTGTCGTATGTATGGGTTGCATTTTGGGATGGGAATCACTTTTTAAACCACTGTACAGAAGCTTTTTATAGCCTGAATGTCTTACTGTGATCGATTAAATTTCTTAAAGGAACCATTTGGCTGGACCTGGCGCACTCTCTTCTTACACTTGCTCATCTCCTCCCTCTGCTCACCGGTTGGACTCCCTGGGAGAAGGAAGGGGACGTTTCCCCAGGCTGTGGCCTCTGAGCAGGGGCCGTGATTCCTGGTGGGTGATATGCTGAGTGGTGGTTTTGCGCATCAAATTCATTGCTACGATAAGATATAAAACTCAAAGCTGGCACAGTGGCTTGCCCTGTAGTCCTAACTACTCGGGAGCTCGAGGTGGGAGTATCTCTTGAGGCTAGGGAGTTCGAGGCCAGCCGGGGCAACAGAGCAAGACCCCATCTCTACAAAATAAATAAATAAATAAATAAATAAATAAAAAGAATTTAATACAGGAAACTCAGTATAAAAGACCAAATATGCCAGGTGTGGTGGTGCGCCCAGTAGTTTCAACTTCCCAGGAGGCTGAGGCGGGAGGATCACTTTAAGCCTGGGAGTTCAAGGCTGCGGTGAGCTATGATCGCACCACTGCACTCCAGCCTGGGCGACAGAGCAGGACCTCAGCTCTAAAAATAAATAAATAAATAGCAAAAGACCAAATAGGCCAGGCACGATGACACGCACCTGTAATCCCACCTACTCAGAAGGATCGCTTGAGGCCAGGAGTTTGAGATGCGCTTGGGCAACGTAGCGAGACCCTGTCTGTAAAAAAAAGAAAAGAAAAAATAAAAACCCAAATGTGGCAAAACCGCAATGAGATGCCACCTTGCCCTCACTAGGGTGGCTGCGATGCAAAACAAAACAAAGAAATAGATATAAGAGTTGGGGAGGATGTGGGAAACTGGAACCCTCCTACTGTGTCGGTGGCCACGTGAAGTGGCGCAGCCACTGTGGACAACGGGATGGCGAGTCCTCAAAAAAAAGAAAAAAAGAACCCAAAACATACAATTACCGTGTGATCCAGCAATTCCACCTCTGGGTATGTTCCCCAAAATAATTGAAAGCAAGAACTTAAACAGTTACTTGTACACCCACGTTCATAGGAATATTATTCACGATAGTCGAAAGGTACAAACAACCCATGAATGCATAAGCAAGATGTGTTTCATCCACATTATGCAATATTATTTAAATTTATGTTAATTTATTATTTAATATTGTTAAGTAATATTCTGTACAATGGAATATTATTCGGCCTTAAAGAGGGAGGAAATTCTGACACATGCTGCAAGATGGGTGAGCTCGGGGACATTATGCTGGGGGACATAAGCCAGTCACGAAAGAGCAAATCCTGTGCGATCCCACTATAGCAGGTCCCTAGAGTCGTCGCATGCACAGAGACAGGAAGTGGAATGGTGGGTGCCAGGGGCTGGGGAGGGGGTGGGGAGTGAGTGGTTCATGGGGACAGAGTGTCAGTCGGAAAGATGAGAAGGTTCTGGAGATGGAGGGGGGTGATGGCTGCAGAACAGCGTGAATGTGCTTCATGCCACTTAAGTGTGCACTTAAAAAGGGCTACGGGCTGCTGTGGTGGCTCGGGTCTGTAATCCTAGCACTTTGGGAGGCTGAGGCGGGAGGATCACTTGAGGCCAGGAGTTCAAGACCAGCCTGGGCAATGTAGCAGGACCCCATCCTACTAAAAATAGGGAAAAAATTAACTGGGTGTGGTAGTCCCAGCTACTTGGGAGGCTGAGGCGGGAGGATCGCTTGAGCTCGGCTGCAGTGAGCTGAGATCCGGCCACTGTATCACGCCAGCCTGTGGGACAGAGAGACCATGTCTCAAAAAAAATCAAATAAATAATAGAGCACAGACTGGGCAGGCCGTCTGGGTTCATACCCTGGCTCTGCCACTGATTCGCTCGGTGACTTGGGCACCTTAGAGCCTCAGTTTCCCCAGTTGACACTGATGCTAATCTCCGCCTCCCGGGCTATGTGAGAGGGGTGGGCTGGGGGTCTCTACACAGGCCCAGAGACAAAGGCAGGGACTGTTATCTTTCCCACGTCCACAGGGTGGCACTTCCTTCCTGCCTTCCGCCTTTTGTGCTGGGAAGCTTCCAAAAACGCCTCTGGGAGCGCAAGCCTGAAGAGCCCACACAGGAAGCAACGGGGCCTGCACACAGGCGCTCAATAATTGCTCGCTGGAATAAATCAGCGCTCAACCGAGTGGCAAATGGGATAAATGATCTCGGGTGGCCTGGAACACGGGAGTGCCCGGGAGGTGGCTCCAGGGTCCCCCGATCAGAGGGTGCACAGAACTGGGCGTCCCCCGGCAGCGGGGAGTGGGGGGCCCGGGAGCACAGCTGGGGTGGGACAGGGCCCATGGGAGAGGCCAGACGTGGCGGAAGTTTCTGGTCTCTGGCCTGGGCTGTTTTCTGGGAAAGGAGGCGTTCCGAAAACCCTGCACGGACATGCAGGTGTTTGGAGCTTCCTAACAAACCGTCCTCACCGTGGTGCCCCGAGGGAGGGACTGTGACAGGTGCCCACTTTCCAGTGGGGTCACCGTGGCTGGTTTCTGAGCCTCTCTGTGGCTGCAGTTCTGTGGGCTCAGAAAGGGGTCGCCCAGGGAAGACACGCTGCCGACTCCCTGCTCTAGGGGCTCGGCGCCCACCTACTCACCCAGACGCGCTTGCTCTGCAGCAGGGGGCACGATGCAGCTTGGGGACCGCCACCCTTGCGGACAGGGTGAGGGCCGGGGGTCCTGTCCTCCCTGGCTTCGGGGTCTCGACAGCTCTAGCCAGGACGGGGTGGGTGGTGAAAGGAAGCTGCCCCCGAAGCCTGACATCCCCAACAACGGGTGTCCTCTGCTGCACACGCCTCACCCCCACCCGCCGTCTGTCCCCAGGCCCGGTGTCCCTTCCAGCCGGCCAGCGGTATCCCACACCACAGCTGTCTGCAGTGAGTCAGCCTGGAGCTCATGGCCGCGGAAGGGAGGGGAGAGGCGGGGAGAGGGGATGGGCTGCCCCGCCCTGCAGCTGGCCTGGCCTTGGCCCCCAACCCAGGGGTCAGCACCACCCCCCACTTGCAGGCAGTGATTTTCCACGATGATGAGGGCCGAATGTGAGTTCTCATCACCCACTGAGCAGGGCGGGCAGCTCCATGCCAGCTCCCCCAACCGCCCCCCACACCCCCCTTGGCTCCCAGGATGCACCTGGGATGGGGTGGGGGGAGCCTGGGAGTTGTGAGATCAACCACTTAGGCCCGGCTGCTGCGCTGCACCTGTGTCGAGAGGCCAATGTCAGGTTTCCTTTTCCTAGTGCTGGGGCCCTTCTTGGAATCTAAAAAAAAAAAAAAAAAAAAAAAAAATCCCACAGTGGACTGCAGGTCTGGTGCGATCAAGGCGTCCTGCCCTCCAGCTGTCTCTACTATCATTTGTACTTGCTGTGTCCCCTGTCTGGATCACTGTCTCCACACCTGTGTCCCCAGGGGGCACAGGTACAGGCTCAAATGAAACCTCCTCCTTGTGGCCTCCCACAGAGCTCTCCCTCTCACTGAAGTAATCTCATTCTCAGGTTGGGATTAAGAGCACAAGCTCTGGGTCCACACAGCTCAGGTTAAAACCCTGGCTCTGCCACATACCAGCTGTGAAACCTGAGACTAATAGCTTCACTCCCCCCACCCCACCCCCATGCCTCAGTTTCCTCGTCTGCAAGATAACGCAAAGCTGGGCACACAGCACTCACTTGGCCTTGTCACGGCCTCCTCAGAGGGGTGGCTCCCTGAAGGAGGGTGGCCTGGCAGGTCACAGATGTCCACACTTCTGAGTAAATAAGGGAGGCCATGGGAGGTCCCGGGGCCACGTGTGCCCAGGTGAGTCACCTGCAGGCTGTAGTCCCAGATTGTAGAGAGGCCCCTGGAACCCACCACTGTCAGGTCAGCGACCCGAGAACCCGAGGGCTACTAGGGGAAGAAGCCCAAGTCTGGTCCCCAGGGGAAGCCACTCAGCTACCGGGAGGCCAATGGGAGGGGTCCGGCCTCTAGACTCCATGTGACCTGGGCTCTTCTCTCCAGAAACAGCGGTCGTGAGCCAGGCCGGGTGGCATGTGAACATGCGACCTGTACGCCACCTGCCAATAGTGCCTCAAGCCTGCTCCGTCGCCGTCGGGGCTAGAGCAAGTGCAGGCGCAGGCGCCAGGCCTGGCTCGGCCTCTTCCGGCCTGGGGGGCTCAGGACACGGGCCGACTCCTCAGAGGTTGCGGCTTCTCGTCTGGGAAGCCAAGAGGACCCTCTGGGGGCTGCCGTACAAATGTCCCACCCCCATCCCGAGTGTGACCACCCTGCATCCAGGGAGGGCTCGGGGACAGTGTGTGTGGGGTTCCAGACTCTAGGGGTGTCCACATCCTGCCGTGCCTCAGTTTCCCCCTCTGTAAAACAATGCTCCTCATGGGCTTGGGTCGGTGCTGGGACTGAGCCTTGGTTCTCAGGGTGCCAGGCGGGTGACCTGGTTCCTGGGACCTCGTTCCTGCCTCGCTAGGCCTGGGCTGGGCCGAGCGTCTGTGACTTAGGAAAGGGCAGTGGCTGCGGGCAGCTCGGGGAGGGAGGACGATGGGGCGGGGTGGAACAGGGGTTCAGCTGGAGGCTGCGGGCCCCAGGCTGTCCCAGGCGCGGGGCCAGCGGCGGGCAGTGAGTCAGGGCCCAGGCATGCGAGGGCCGGGGCCTCTCCCGCGGGGCGGCGGGGCGGCCGCTGTGAGATCAGGCACCTCCCAGCCCGCCCGCCGGCCGCGTTCCTCACCCTCCCCCTCGCCCACCATCGGGCCGGGCTTGCCTGGGGGGACAGGGGTGGTGGGCACACTCCTCTGAGCCTGGGATGGCAGCGTCTTCTCCTTGGGGAGACTGAGGCCCAGGCTGCCGGGGGTGGGGGACAAAGCAAGGCCGTTCCTTCAGGGCGGGAGAGCTGGCCCGCTGCAGGCTGAGGGCCCTGGGCCCGGGGCGCGATCAGACTGGGCTTGCAGAGCCGAACGCTGCCGTCCCTCGGCCCTCATTTTAGGGCACCCCCTGCGCCCGCAGCTGCCTTCCCTCCGGCCACCGCGCTGTTCGCATGAGCAGAGAAATACGCCTGCTCTCCCGCCTCCGGGACTCTCAGCCGTGGGCTGGGCGCGCTCTGCTCCTGGCAGCTTCAGGCACCTGGGGCCATCCTGTCCCCTGTTGGCGGGAGTGGCCGTGAAGGTGACAGCAGCTACTCAGCCAGCCCTGAGGCCAGCACCTGACTGGCACACTGGGTCCCAGCTGAGGCAGGTGATCGGCCGTGTGTGTGTGTGTGTGTGTGTGTGTGTGTGTGTGTGTGCCCCTCACCCCCCGGGGACACCAGGAAACAGCTGGAGACATTTCCTGTTGTGACAGCTGAGCAGGCAGTACTGGCGTTGGTGGAGGGCGGGCGGGGATGCTACTAAATGTCGCGGACATCCAGGACAGCAGGATTACGTGGCTTAAAACCCTGCTCTGGCTCAAGTCTTCCGCTCCCTGGAGCCATCAGCAAAGCCGAGGGCTCTGCTTCCATCCCACGTCACACAAGAGCGGCCACCAATCTGGAAAACGAAGACAGCCCCAAAGGGCATCTATGAACACTTCACTGTGCGTCTAAAACCGGGCCCTCGGACCAGAAGCGGGCCTCTGGGCTGGGCGCCATGGCTCACGCCTGTAATCCCAGCACTCTGGGAGGCCGAGGCGGAAAGATCCCTTGAGGTCAGGAGTTCGAGACCAGCCTAAGCAAGACCCTGTCTCTACAAAAAATAGAAAAATTAGCCAGTGTGGTGGTAGCACCTGCAGTCCCAGCTACTGGAGGCTGAGGCAGGAGGATCACCTGAGCCCGGGAGTTGGAGGTTGCAGTGAGCTGTGATGACGCCACTGCTGTCTAGCCAGACACAGAGCAAGACTGTCTCAAAAAAAAAGTATCGTTCTGCCTACCTAGAATGCCCCCGGGCGATTAAAAAAAATAATCGCACTCACTGTAGACGATTCAGTTGTAGGAAGGAACATGATGAAACCCGAGGCCAAGCTCCTGTAACGCACATGTCTGCTGGCTTCAGGCAAGGCTGTACCCAGGGGGCACCTGGTGTCAGTGGGACCCTGTCACCTCTCTCCACCCTCAGGCAGGCGGCAAGCTAACCTTGCTTAGCAGTACCCTGAGCCCCAAGGATGGGGGAGTGGCGAACACAACACACTGGCCACCCTGGTCATGGGCTGCGTGCTGAATCACTGAGCGTTTATTTTGGCTATTTGTACTAGAAAACCCACAATAACAACAGCTTGCACAAGGTAGAAGTTTCACTTTGCTCCCCTCATCCCCTAATTTAAATAAGTTTGTGCTGATCTCTGGCTCTGCTGTCACCAGGGAACCAGGTTCTGTCATCCCTAGAGGATGGCATCCTTTCTTGCATGTGGCAATATGGCTGCTAAGGCTCCAGCCATCATGCCCAAATTCTAGGAAACAGGAAGGGGGAAGAAAAGGTGTACTTGCTTTCTAAGGATCTTTCTAGAACTTTCGTAAAACATTTCTAAGTACATTTCAGTGGCTGGAACTTAACTACAAGGAGGCTGGGAAATGTGTTTTAACTGGAGGCAACCAGTGGTCTCTGGCGCACTCTACCCTGGAGTCACGGGCTCCGAGAGCGTTGGGGAGGGCAGTGGGCCCTGAAGGAAAACCAGATTCAGAATTGCTTGTATACTCCACAGCCCCCACAAAAACGTCCATGATTGCTCTACAGTCCTTCTAATTAGGTCACACTCGACACACGGCTCTGTCCCACGCTAAACTCACGGCCCCCAGTGGGCACCTGCCTCCTCGTTCAACAACCTTAGTCTTTTTTTTTTTTTTTTGGTGCCAGGAGTGGAATCCGACGGGCCGCAGATTGCTCAGAATGGACATCCCACAATCCACCCGCCCTTCGCTGCTTCTCCGAACGACCAACGCCTTGTAAGTCCCATCACAGAAGTTGCTCTGGTCTCCGTGCAGCCCACACGCTCTCTAGCCGGGGGCCTGTCACAACCCGGACCCCACCCCGGCTCGCAGGTGGCGTCTGCTTGTGTTGAATCCTCCGTGCACCAAGGGGGGGTCCTTGTCACTTGCACCCGTGTCTCTGGCACCCAGCACAGTCCTGGGCACACCGGAGCACTCAGAGAGACTCCCTGAACGAATAAAAAAGGGCTGAGCTTGAATCAAAAATGGCAAATACCTGGGACCTGTCACCGAGTACCGCGGCGGTATTTGCGGCACGTTGCCACAGATGTGGTGTCGCAGGCTTGTGAGCACGGCCAGGTCAGTTTCCCACGACCAGGCAGAGGCCAGCCCAGGATCTGGGGCCAAAATTGAGGGAAAAAGGAATCCAGTTTGGAAAAAAACCATCTACGTAGCAACCTTTCATGTTGAACTGATCCCGCCACGGAAGAGTCCCGCTGCGGGCGAGACACGGCCACGGCACTCCGGGCTACCACGTGGTGTCCACCATGCTCCAGAGGTAGTCGCTGACGAACTTCTTGGAGAGCTGCGTGCTGTCCAGGTGGACGGGCTGGGCGATGCTGGGGCCGTGATGGACTGGGGCGCAGACGTAAGGAAAGCCCGGAACTCGCGGCCCTCGCCCCCACCCCCGGGGAAAGGATGGGGCCGTTCAAAAAATTTTAAGATATTTAGAGATGGAAATTGGTGTTCATGAAAAAGCTGAATTCTGATAAAGGACTAACTTTTTTAAAATTGTGGTAAAAGTCTACACAAAATTTACCATCTTAACCGTATTTAAGTGTGCGGCTCGGTGGCCCTAAGCACACTCACGCTGTTGGGCAACCGTCACCACCCTCCACCTCCAGAACTTTCTCATCTTCCCAAACTGAAACTCTGTCCCCTCCCCAGCCCCCGGCACCCACCACCCTACTTCCTGTCTCTGAGGACGGGACGACTCTAGGGGCCTCCTGTGAGTGGAGTCACACGGGATTTGTCCTTCCGTGACTGGCTTACGCCACTGGGCGCGACGTCCTGTAGGTTCATGCAAGTTATGGCCTGTGTGAGAAACTCCTTTCTTTTTAAACCTGAGCACCATTCCAGTGTGTGCATGGACCGCATCGTGTCCATCACGCGTCTCGAGGGACACGTGGCTCGTGTCCGCCCCTCGGCTGTTGTGAACAGCGCTGCGAAGAACACAGGCGTGCAACGACCTGCTCGGGTCCCTGCCTTCGGTGCTTTGGTGTACAGCCCCGGAAGTGGGCTGGCTGGACCCTAAGGGGGTTCTATTTCTCACGTTCGAGGACCCGCCACACCGTTTTCCGCGGCAGCTGCAGCGTTTTACGTCCCCCGCCAAGAGTGGACAGGAGTCCCCGTTTCTGCAGGAAAAGGATACTGCCTTTGATCACCCCTGGCTCACACTCGTAATCCCACTCGATTTTACTGACTTGGCGATAAAGTTGAGCCACATACCTATAAGACAAGAAAAGAAAAAGAGAGAAAAGAAGTTACCCAGCACCAGCTCCAGCTCCAGCCAAGAGCTGCGGGACTGAAGCCACAGAGGCGCGCACTTCCCTGGAACCTACACGGCGGACGGGATCGTGACTGTCGTGTCTTCGTCAACTTCCCTCTCCTGCCTCTCGAGATCCGCCTCCATCTCCTTGAGCTCCCCCAGCTCTCTGCCCAGCTGGGTAGGACGGGAGTTAAGGACCAGGACCCTGGCTCTGGAGAGAGGGCTGCCCCAGCTGCCCCAGCCGTGCGAGGGGGCCCGGCCTCCGGCTCCGGGCGCGTTTCCCGGCGGAGGCAGGGAAGGATATAGCAGGCTGCCCTTCAGTCGCGCGTCCTCCTCTCCGGCCTTCTGACGCTCGGCTTCCAGCTGCTGCAGCTCCGCTGCCCCCTGCTGCGCCCGCTCCTTCACGTCCAGGAGATTCCGGGCCACTTCCTCCTCCGTGGCGAGGATCTCTGCAGGGCGGGAGAGAAACGGGCATCGTAAGGTCAGTCCCCCCAGGACGGCAGAGGGGGGAAGCTGGGTCAGCCGCGCCGTCTGTAAGGAACTTGCTGGCTGCGGTCCTGTGCCCGAACACAGGGTTCCACTGGGGACTCGCACACGACTTCTGTTTCACCAAAATACATTTAAATACGCGAAAAAATTTAAATACCTGCTCCTTCTTCGCACAGATACGAGAGTAGCATACAGCACTCGCTTTCCACGACGGACCAGCCAGCCAAGCTCAGCCGCTCCCCAACCTCCCACCCAGCTCTCATCCTCATCCTCCTCGTGCTGGTCCTTCATCCCTCCAGGACCGACCTAACAGCCTCCCCAGTGCCCTCTGCTTTGGTCTCTCCTGCCAATCCATTCTGCTGCCTGCCGCGTCAAAGGCCAAGAGGGAAGTCACTCCCCTGCTCAAAGACCTCCCATGGCTCCCCAGACCCCTTCAGTATATTTACCACCCTCATCAGCTTTCTCCCTACCACGCTCTCGTCTCTCTGTTCATCGTCCTGCACGCACACAACAGTTTTCACCAGGCCCCTGCCTTCCTGTCCTCCCCGCACTCCTGCGCCACCAGGAATACCCAGGCCCAGCCTCAAATAACCCCCTGGGTAATGCCCGACTCAGGCAGCTGGGCGCCCTCCCCTTCTTCTGGGGTGCAACTGTGCCTCCACGACAGCCCCCAGCATACCGGATTATTTATTCCTCATCTCTTCAAATCACAGGCTGCATCTTCTATCCACCATCTGTCTCCAGCACCCGCCCGGAAAAACGTGATTTGAACAAAACACCCAGAAAGATCAAAAACATCTTAAGCTGGAGTCCCAGCTACTTGGGCGGCCGAGGCAGGAGGATTCTTGGAGCCCAGGAGTTCGAGACCAGCCTGAGCCACATAGCAGGACCCATCTCAAACAAAACAGAACAAAACACCGGCTTAAGATAGCTATTGTGTTCCTTCCCAGAGTGTCCCAGAAATCTGCCAACTCAGAGAAGGCACAGATTAAAATTCTCCCCAAAGGGCCCATGTTTAAGCTTTTAAAAACTTACATTAAGTTAGTTTTTCATCGAAGGGTCGCATGTGTATGACTGAAAACGTAAACACACACGCCCCCGGTCTGAGCCTCTCCACCCCTCCGAAAGTGGCCACTTTCAACTTCAAGCTGTTTTCTCTGGCACCAACTTCCACATTTCTAAATAATTTGCTTACGCTGCCGTTTCTTGATTGGTCCGTTTCAGACGGTGCCTGCTGATTTCCTGTTAGGATAGCTGAGGCTCTGGCCGGCTTGCTCGGCCTCCCACCCCTTGTCCGCCTGCCCCCTCGCCCCAGGGACAACCGAGTCTCCCCTGTGATGTTCATCGCAGAGCGCTGTTACCTGGGTGTGCGCTGTACGCCACGGGATAGCCCATGGGGTGACTCCTACTGGGTGCCATCTCCTGACAACCCTCTGCCAGGGTGGTTTCGTTCCTCTCCCTACTTGGGAGGTGAGGAACAGAGAGGTTCATTCACTTGCCCATAGGCACACAGCTCCGAAGCCAGGATGGGGACTGGGTCTGTCTCACCCAAAGCCCTGGCTCCCTGGTCGGGGCTCAGTCTTCTTGGCCTCGAATTCGTCGACTTTGCTAAAACCGGAGCAGGCTGAGTCACACTGCTCTTCTCCTCAAACCATCAAAGGCGGGGGAGTTCATGGAGGGGGAGAGGGAGGAGGGAAGGAGGGGAAGACCCCGCCTGGGATGTCACACTTAGAATGACATGCGAACTGTGTCTGGGAGCTCGCCAGGCCTGGTACAGTCTAGCTGCTGCTCGCTCGTCTTCCACCACCCTCTCCCGGGCCTCCAAGTTCATTCTCACCTCGCGACCTCTGCATCTGCGATCCACTCTGCCAGGGACGCCGTGCCCGGGCCACTCCAGCCTCAGCTCAGCGTTAAATGGACAACCCCCTGGCACTGCCGCTGCTGCGGAGAACCGTATGGTGGGTCCTCAAAACATTAAAACACTGAATCCAGGGATTCTACTTCCGGGTAAATACAGAAAAAGAATCGAACAAAGGGTGTTGAAGACATACACGTTCCCTCATGTTCGTATCAGCATTATTGGAAATAGCCCAAAGGTGGGAGCAACCCAAGTGACCCCGAGTGTCTGTCGACAGATGAATGAATAAACCAAATGTGGTCCATCTATACGATGGGATAGCGTTTGGCTTTAAAAAGGAAAGACATCCTGACACACGCCACACCACGGATGAGCATGGAGGACGTCATGCGGTACGAAATAAGCCAGCCGCAAAAGGATAAATTCTGCATGATTCATTCTGCTCCTAGGAGGTCCCTAGAGTAGTCAAAGCCACAGAGACACAAAGCAGAACAGTGGATGCCGGGGGCAGAGGGAGGGAAACAGGGAGTTAGTGTTTAAAGGGGACAGAGTTTACGTCTGGGAAAATGAGAATGTTCTGGAGATGGATGGTGGTGATGATTGCACAACAGTGTGAATGTGCTTAATGCCACTGAACCTTACACTAAAAAATGCTTAAAATGGTAATTACGTCTATTTTACCACAATAAAAAGACAAAAAATTATGGCATGGAGAATAGCAGTGCAAGCATCACCTCTACGAAACTCACATCAGTCCAGCAAGGGGTGCTACGCAGCTGCAGCTCCACTTCACAGATGAGGAAACTGAGGCTTGGCGAGGGAAAACAGCTTAGGCCAGGCACTGTGGCTCATGCCTCTAATCGCAGCACTTGGGAGGCTGAGGCAGGAGGATCTCTTAAGGCCAGGAGTACAAGGCCAGACTGGGTAACATATGAGACCCTGTCTCTACAAAAACACAAAACAGGCCGGGCGCAGTGGCTCACGCAGATAATCCCAGCACTTTGGGAAGCCAAGGTGGGAGGATCGCTTGAGGCCAGGAGTTGGAGACCAGCCTGAGGAACAATGAGATCCCTGTCTATACAAACATCAAAAAATGAGCCGGGCGTGGTGTCTGTAGTCCCAGCTGCTTGAGAGGCTGAGGAGGGAGGATCCCTGGAGCCCAGGAGTTCAAGGCTGCAGTGAGCTATGAGTGGGCCACTGCATTCCAGTCTGGGCCACAAAGCAAGAAGCTGTCTCTTAAAAAAATAAATAAGTAATTTAAAAAAAAAAAAGGAGTTAGCTGAAATCGAGGTCAAAGGCTCAATGAAACGAGCCCCACCCACCTTCAGGAAAGGCTGGATCCAGCCCTCTCGGTCTAGGTGAAGGTATTTATTAGCAGAGCTTTTTTCCCCCTTACTGTTCAGTAAACCTTCCATTCAATGGTGTCGTAGATCCAGTGAAAATGACACTATTTATCCAGCATTCTCTCCAGGTAAAGCAGGAGGCATTTCACCCACACGTTTATTTAATCCTTATCATCCTCCTCCTTTCCTCGCCTCCTTCACGTTCCTGTTTAAACATCATCTGCGCAGAAGGCCTTCGCTGCCCCCGCCCCCACCCTCACCCCCAAACTTCGCCACTCCTCCTTACACCACCTAGTTTTTCTCCTTAGCCTGTCACCTCCTAACATACCCATTTTTCTTGTTTATCCTGTCGCCTCCCCCCTCCGCGAGCATTACAGCCCCGCAAGGGCGGGGATTTTGTCTGTCTTGTTCCCTGCTGCCACCCAGGACCTGGCGCCCAGCAGGTGCTCCATAAAACATCTGAACGACCTCAGGAAGAAGGGATGGACTACTGTTACAACCATTGCCCGGAGAAGGAAACTGAGGCACAGAGAGGTTAAGAAACGCACCTCAAATTTCACAGCTGGGAAGTGGGGGTGCTGGGATTCAAACCCGGCGCCTTGACTCCTGAGTTCGGGTTCAAACCCTGAGTCCCCCCTCCCCCAGCTCCCGCTCACGGAGAGCTCAGAAGGGGCCAGGCCCTGAGGGCTCCTATATTTACCACGAAACCCCTAAGCGGGGAGGGGTGGCTGTTGTCATGAAGCTCATTTCACGGGTGGGGTGGGGAAACTGAGGCTCAGAGGGAGCAGCGCCCAACCGGTGGCACCACGAGGGGGACGGGACGGCGGATGCGAGAAGCCAGGAGGCAGGGGGTTCGAGGACGACCGGGCCGCCCCCTCCCACTCCGCAGGCCTCAGCCCTCACCTCGTAGCTGCTGCTCGGCGCCGTCTTGCGTCTCCAGCAGCCGCTGCACTACCTGCTCGTGGCGCTCCAGCACTCGCCGTTGCTGCGTCTCGGCGCGGTTGGCGCCCAGCAGTCTGAGCAGCCCCTGGCTCACCTCCTCCAAGTCGCGGAAGGCCGCCATGGCTACGCCAGGGCCAAACCCGCGCAAATTTGACTGCCCGCGGGGCCCGCCCTCTTCCCAAAGTTTCTCTCTTCCACTGGCTTCAGTCTCCGTCAGTCATAATCCAGGGCCAATAGACGTCTGGAGGGGCGTTTTCAGCATGGAGGCGGGGACCACGGATCTGGCATGGTGCGCCTGCGCCTGCTCCTCCGTCAGTCATCCGCGATGGCCAATCGGCGCAGGGAGAGGGCGTGTCTGAAAGGCCAGCCTGATGCGCCTGCGCAGGTAGGAAAGCGGCTGCGAGAGCCGGAAGTTGTTTATTTCTCCATCTGGTAGGGGTGAGGTGTGGATGGCTTCTGGCGGAGCTGATGTTCTGCAGTGTGTGCGTGGGATACACACAATAAACATAAGAAATAAGTAAGTTCTGTACGGCTGCATAACAAGATGGAGTCTGTAGCCGGATTCATTGGGTTCGAATCCCAGCTTTGCCACTTACTTGCTGTGTTACCTTGGGCAAGCGTCACCCCCTCTCTGTCTTACTTTCCTCAGTAAAATGAGGATCATAATAGTGCCTACTTCAGGGTTGGCGTGAGGATTAAATGAGGGTGTGCCTGGTATTCAGCAACGGCTCTATAGGTGTTAGATGAAACATACATAGAATGCCAGCGAGCACCAAACGCCACGCTATGTGTTAACGGAAAAGCCAAACTCTGTAAAATAATTTTAAAGAGATTTATTCTGAGCCAAATTTGAGGACCATGACCCGGAGCTACACCCAAGAAGCTCTGAGCAAGTGGACTCGGTGTGGCTGGGGTACAATTTGGTTTTATACATTTCGGGGAGATGGGTTACAGGTAAAGTCATAAATCAATACGTGGGAGGCATACATTGGTTTGGCCCTAAAAGGTGGGCCATTTCGAAGCGGGGAGTGGGGGGAGAGGTGTCTTACAGGTTATAGGTGGGTTTAAAGATTCTCTGACTTGTAATTGGTTAAAGACAAGATGCTTTGTCTAAAGGCTTGGAGTGTTTTAAGATAAGGGACAAGCCACCGGATGTATATTTGTTGTGTAAATTGAGGACCTGCAGGTTTGTCTTGCTTAGCCTTAGGCTTGTTAATGGATTACAGGGGATGTCTCCAAGAAGAGAGGGGGGCATGATGAGGCAGGCAATTTAGTTTTAGGATATTCCCTTGGCCCAGAGGGGGGTCCATTCAGTTAGCTGGTGGGGGTGAGCCTTAGATTTTATTTTAGTTCACATATGTGAGAGTTACACTCAATTTGGTGACATGGTCCTCTAAGTGGCTGCAAAAGAATCAACTTGGTGGGCAGTATTTTCTACAGCACAGAACAGGCAAAAAAAAAAAAAAAATCAGTGCATCAGTACATAAATTTAAGTATTATTTTGAGAAACTCGGAACTCTGCATTTGTATACTGGGTGTGGTAGATCGTATTTTTGAAAAATGGCTATAGAAATATTTCCAACCTTGCCATTACTTACAAAGAGGCACACTCTAATTGCCCTCCTCTTGAACCTGTTCAGGAGTTTGTGCGACAAATAGAACGTGGCAATAGGGACACTGGGTGACTTCCAAGGCTGTCATAAACTAGGATACATCTTTTGTCTGTCTGCTTGTCTCTCTCTCTCTCTCTCCCCCAGCCCTGGAATTGGGGGATGCCCTATGGTAGGAAAGTGACTTTAGGTTGGATGGTCAGGGACAACCTCCCTGAGCAGGGGACATATGAGTGACGAAAAGGTGTTGGGAAACAAAGTGGCAGGCAGAGGAAAGAGCAAGTGCAAAGGTCCTGGGGTGGGGAGAAGTTTAATTTGTTTGTGGAACAGTGAAGAGTCCAGCGTGGATGGAGGGAAGTAAGTAAGGCAGTTTTCAGAGGCCCTGCAACTGGGCTAAGGTTTTTATTCTGGTTTAACAGAAAGCTCTGGAAAGCATTAAGTAGGGAGGGGCTATAGAGTGGACTGGGAACTGCTCATGTTTTTATATTTTTAAAACGGTCACACAGATGGGGACACCCTTAGGACTATTTAGCCTCCCCTGGGGCACAGATCCCTTTGGAATCCGAGAAAAGGAATGAGAGCCTCTTCCTTGAAATATGCAACCCACATCCATCCATTCTTGGATTTTGTGCAGCTTTTGGGAGGTCCAAGAGCCTGGAATGCCATCTCCAGATTTTCAGGTTAAGAATCACACCAGCCGCGTGAGCCTATAGTCCCAGCTACACAGGAGCCTGAGGCGGGAGGATCGCTTGAGCCCTGGTGTTCAAAGCCAGCCTGGGCCACATACCGATATCCCGTCTCAAAGAAGAATAAAACCACCCCAGCCTTAGGACAGCATGGGCTTATGGAGTGAGTGGCACTTATAGAAATGATGCCACTGTAGCTATTTCCTGCACAAATAATCAGTGTCTGGGCATAGACCCCCCTCCTTAGAATCAGTGCTAAGCTTAGAATGCTGAGATCACTGTCACCTGTTGGTGCCTGAGAGCCTGACCTCTGCGATTAGCTGTGTGATCTTTGGCAGAGGAATCACCTTCTCTGTGCCCAAAGGCAGGGAGTTACTAATGAAGAAATAAGACCTTGGGTTCAGTTTCTGGCCGGGCAGTTTACCTGTGACCTTGGTAGGTTCTTAACCTTTCTAAGCCTTAGAAGCTAAAGATAGCCCTTTCTTATCAGCTGGGGGGAGGTGTCGGGGAGATAAACCTTGCCGGATTGAGCAACCAGAGCCTGGCAGATATAAAGGCTCTTTTCAAAAAGGGTCATCCACCTCCCTTCCAAAAAAGCAAAGGGAGAACCACGCTGTAGCCAGGACGGCTGATATCCAAAAGAAACAAACCAACCCAGAAAATCACAAGTTTTTGACCGGGATGTAGAGAAATGTATGGCAGTTCCTCAAAAAATTAAAAATAGATTTTCCATATCAGCAACTCTACTTCTGGGTATATACCCAAAAGCATTGAAAGCAGGGACTAGAACATATGTTTGCACATCCGTGTTCATAAGCAGCATGAGTCACAGAAGCCAAAAGGTGGAAACAGCATCCGTGGATGGATGAACGCATGAACGAAATACAGTCCGTCCATCCAACGGGAGATTAGTCAGCCTTTAAGAAAAGAAGGGAATTCCGAAACACGTTACAGCACGGTGAATCTTGAGGACATTATGCCGAATGAAATAAGGCAGTCACAGAAAGACAAATACTGTATGATCCCACTCATAGGAGGTCCCTGGAGGCATCAGATTCAGAAAGACAGAAAGTAGAATGGTGGGTGCCAGGGGCCGGGGGAGCAGGAGAGAAAATTAGTGTTTAATGGGGGCAGAGTTTCAGTTTTGCAAGATGAAAGGAGTTCTGGGGGCCCGGCCCTTGGCTCACACCTGTAATCCTAGCAGTCTGGGAGGTCGAGGAGGCGGGAGGATCACTCGAGGTCAGGAGTTCGAAACCAGCCTGAGCAAGAGCAAGATCTTGTCTCTACAAAAAATCGAAAAATTAGCCAGGCGTGTGCATCTGTAGTCCCAGCTACTCGGAAGACTGAGGCAGGAGGATTGCCTGAGCCCAGGAGTTTGAGGTTGCTGAGAGCTTCGATGACACCACTGCACTCTAGCCTGGGTGACAGAGTGAGACCCTGTCTCAAAAAAAAAGTTCTGGAGATGGATGGTGGTGACGGTTGCCCAACAGTGTAAATGTATTTACTGCCACTGAACCGTACACTTAAAAATTGTTAGGACAGTAAATTTTGTTTTGTGTATATATTGCCACAGTTAAAAATAAAAATGCACATAAAAAAAAGGCAAAGCAAGAAACTGGGTGGTTGAGAATGTCTTCAGCGTGAGCTGAACAAGCTAGCAGAGACGATGACACACGGTCCTGGCAAGGGCTTTGTGAGAAACAATTGATTTCCTAAAGGCCCCTTCTTGGCTCAAAAACCTCTCTGGGAGACTGAGAAAAGTAATGGACATTCCGCTTAGAAATACATTCCTTTGCATAAAATTTCTGGAACTTCCAAAAACCTCTGAAAGCCACCGTTATCTCCCGCTGAACAGCCTAGGGGAAAAACAGAGGAAATGAGAAGTGAGGAGTGATTGTCACTGGGGCCCTGGGCCCGAGGATGCTCCACTTCCTGTCCTGGTGCGGGTGAGTCGGGAATGCTGTTTGCAAAAGCTGTGTAGCTGTACACTTTTTAAAAAATTTAATTTTTGTAGAGATGGGGTCTTGCTATGCTGCCCAGGCTGGTCTTGAACTCCTGGTCTCAAGTGATACTCCTGCCTTAGCCTCTGGAGTAGCTGGGATTACAGGCATGAGCCACCATGTCTGCCTGATGGAGCTGCACACTTCTGTACAAAATTTGTGCACAAAACATATGCATTTTATAATTCAAGAAAAAAAGAAAACAGAAAAGAAAAAAATTAAGACCAAACATACTAGAAAAAGATTTGGCAGGAGATGCTCCAAACTGTCGACAACGGCATTTCTATCAAGTGGGACTGTGGCACCCTACAAGTGCCAAACACTTCTCTATTGTTTGAATTTTGTCTTTTACAGTCATGGTAAATTGTCATGAGAAAAAAAATGTTTTAGATTTATTTTATCAGTGGTGCTCACAGTGGGTGTCCAACAGAACTTTCTGTGACAATGGCAATGTTTAGTATCTCTGCAGCCCTGTATAGTAACCACCAGCCAGGGGTATTTATTCAGAACTAATTGATTATTATGTAATTTATTTACCTTTAAATGGAAATAGCTATACACGGCTAGTGGCTACGGTATTGGACATTGCCAGTATGGGACAGAGCATAATGGGGTTTATTGTGATAGTCTCACAACATTTTTTGTAGCTTTGGAACATTTGCCATTTTTTTCCTTGTAGACATGGGGTCTTGCTATGCTGCCCAGGCTGGTCTCAAACTCTGGGGCTCAAGCCATCCTCCCACCTTGGCCTCCCAAAGTGCTGGGATTCCAGGCATAAGCCACTGTGCTCAGCCCAAGATAAGTCCATTCTGAAAAAGAGATCTATTTCGAAGCTTAAAAGAGGAGCCCAATAAAACAAAGACAGAATGGTTGGCATTATTGGTAGCTTTATTCGATTCGTTTACCTTCTAAAAAAAAAGATTATAAAAAAAAAAAGAATACTTCATTTAAGTGTAATACTGTCTTTATGGACGTACCGTGGTTGGAAAGTGAAATCAAAGCTTATGAATATACGTGAAACCGGGGACAGAGGCAGGATCCCTGGAGCACACGGGGGAGGGAGAAAGAACAGCAAAGAGATGGACCTATGTCGGGTCACAGGTTCCTGGGCCAAGGAGTCGCTTCTAGGAGCTTAAGATAAACGCACTCGCTGGCTCTGGGGCTGTACACAGAGGTACCCAGCTCTAGTACCGCTTCTCAAAGCTGGAGCCTTAGGCCAGACACCGGCAGCTGTCTCCAATCACCTTTGGTTTTGTTTTCTGATCCTCACACACACACACACTCCATCCATCCATCCATCCATCCTGGTTGTCTTGTTTGGCCATCCAAACCCTTTTGTCTTAGGTACACATCCCTTCGATAAAAAAAAATAAAAAAAAAATCAAAGCAAAACCCATCTAGGACAAGCCAAGAAACCTACTTTTCTAGGAGAGGAGCCAGCGCTTTGCTGCCTGTAATGAACGCGGAGCTCTCGGGGCTTAACTCTGCTCTGCCGAGGTTTGGCCTGACAGCGCGGTTGGCTGGGCCGACCGGTCGCCAAAGGGCAGCGCGCATACTTGGTAGGGAACGTACTTCTCTATCACAAGGCACATTTTTCGAGGCTTGGAACCCTTCCCTTTGGTGGCTCACCAAGGAAAGGAACAGGAAAGAGAAGGATGTTGAGATTTCTGCGGGACCAAACGAGCCACGAAGGAAACTGATCGTCTCTGGAGAGTCCCCGTTTCCAGCCGGCTGTTCCAGGCAGCTCTGGAAATTCTCCAGGTTGTTAAAAAAAACCAGGTGGCCCTCGTTTGGGTTTCAGCGAAGTCCTGTCTCTTTAAGTTTGCACCAGGAGTCCTGGGGGGACTGTGGGGGGGGGCAGCCAACTTTTAATCGTGTCCACATGGGGTTTTTGGAGCCGGCTTCGTGCCTTGCCAACAAACACATGCCCTGTTTTCTTTCCTTTGAGAAGAAAAGTTCTGGAGCCCCAGAGAGGAAAAAGGCCGGCCCTGTAACCACAGTGCTGGGCCCAGGGACCCAGCAGCCGCTCTGAGAACTGGATTCTTTTTCCTGCGTCTCGGGGTTTGAAGGATTTTCGAGGAAAATTAACATTGGCCGGGGCCTCCGTGAGGGGAGGGGACGGATTTCTGGGTCATTTCTTTCTCGCTGTGAACTGGTTCTATATAGGCACCGTGGCCACAGGGTCCCGAGTCCCCCCCAGCCCCCGCCACCCAACCCCACCGCCCCCGCTGCCAGGGGCAGCAGGAAGGCAGAAAAAAGGATCGCGCTTTCTGCCCCGGGTGACAAGGACAGAGGATCTGTTTTGTGAAGCGACCACAAGAAAATTCCCCCAAGAAAGCCATGGCGGGGCAGGGGGGAAGCAGACAAAACACTATTATATGCCAGACAATTAGATGTCAGGGTGGGGGCGTGGGGAAGCCACTTGAGCCCCGACCCGTGCGTAATAACATTCAGGATTAAAATGACAATATGCAAATTCCAGTGACTTTCAAATCTGGCAAGAAATAATCCAATGGCCGCCCTCTTCCCGCAACCATGATTCAAAACTACAGTACTTATTCCCTCTCGCCCTCCCCCAGCCGTAATTGCCGGCCGATTGTTCTCAATGTTCTTCATAAAACCCACACACCCCAGCATCAGCCGCTGGCGCCAATTTATACAAGAATTTAGCTTCGGTCTGCGCCGCGGCGGCTTTGAACCGGGGTGCCAAGAAAACCGGCTTGGAGCTGGAGTCCTGCTGCCGTCGGGGCTCCCCCAGGGACACAGAAGGAAAAACCCACTTGCCTTGGGGACGTGGGCCTTGGGGAGTGTGAGCAGCGGGTGGCCAGGGAGAATGGGGAACAGAGAGGGGACACTGACGGGGACGGCTGGTTCCGGGGCTGGCTGGCCCCCGAGGGGAGGCTACTCTTCCGCTGAGGACGACGCAGGACTCTCGTCATCCGACATCGGGGCAAACTGGAACGAGAAGCAGGGGTTTTTTTGTCCTGCATCCGTTCGGATGTCTCCGCAGAGGCGCCGACTTGGTGGCTGGCGCTGGGATTGTGGGTGGTGAGCAAGGAGGAGGCGTGGTCCCTCCCTGGCCTGGAGGAGGCGGCCTTCTGGGGCCACCGCCTCGGAGAAGAAGCGGACGTATGAAGGCAGTCGGGGGATAAGGGGCGGATGGGAACGAGAGTGGACAGAGGGTGGGCAGGGAGGGTGACAAGCGGGCCGATCCCTGAGCGACGTCAAGGCGCCAGCCAGGGGGCAAGGGTGTTCCAGGCACAGGACAGGCCTCGAACTCCTGGCCCTTCCCAAAGTGCTGGGATTGCTAGGATTACAGGCGTGAACCACCGCACCCGGCCCTCAGGGCCTTTAATACACTGCCGTGCTTTGAGTACAAGCCCAAGTCCTCACTGTGGCCCACAAGGCCCTGCAGGATCTGCCGTGTCACCTCTCTGCCCTCGCCCCCTCCCCTCGGGGCTCCTTCCTGAAACACACCAGGCACACTCCTGCCTCAGGGCCTTTGCACTGGCTGTTCCTTCTGCCTGGATGGCCACGTGACTCCCTCCCTCACGTTGGCTGTTCGCTCAAATGCCATCTCTTCACTGAGGCCCCCAGTGGCTCACTTGCTGTCCCCTTTACTGTCTGATATTCTTTACAGCACTTCCTGTCACCAGGCTAGGATTGTGTCTGAGAATGCCCAAAGACACCTTTTTCTGTTTTGCTCAGTGCTGGGACCCTCAGGGTCCAGGACTGGCCCTCCTACGCAGTAGGCGCTCAGTAAGTATTCCCCAGGTGAGGGACTGGTGACCAAGCGCGTGCATCTGGAACCACACGGACCTGGGCGCGAACACCGTCATGACAAGCGTGACTGTGTACCGGCCTCACCTCTCCGGGCCTCCCCGGGGCGCCACGAAGGTTCGACAAGCCGCTGACCACCAGGTCCTTGGCAGGGACCCCTCACACCATCAGCTCGTCACAGACACCCGTCCCCTCCCAAAGACCCCACTCCCGCCCACCCGCCCGCCGGGTGGAGGCTCACCGAGCACTTGATGTTCATGCGCGAGTACAGCATGGACGCGATCTCGCTCTGCCCCGCATCCAGGGCCACCACCAGGGCCGTGCTCCCGTCCTGCAAAGCATCCGTTGCTACGGTGACAGCCCCAAGCTGTGCTCCCACCCTCCCCGGGGGTGCACCTGGCTGGGGACTCACGCGGTCGGTGAGGGAGATGTCGCAGCTGGGCACGGCCAGCAGCAGCCCCGCGATCTCCTTGTGGCCGTGCTCGCAGGCGCACATGAGGGCTGTGGAGCCGTCGTCGTCCTGCACGTTGACGTCTGCCTCGCAGGACAGCAGGGCTTTGACAACATCCACCCGCCCGTGGCTGACTGCCAGCATCAGGGCTGTCTGTCCGGCCTGGGTAGGGCCAAGGAACAGGATTACAATCTAGGGCAGGACACCCCCCTCCCCCCCCGCTCCAGAACCCTCTATAGCTCCCAAGTACTCTGACATTAATATGTCCCCTCACTTGCTGGCCTTCTCCCAATAGTTTCTTCTCATCTCAAAGGTCTTGGCTTAAATGTCTCCTCCTCAGGGGACTCTCCCTTGCCTACCCACCCCGACCCCCACCTATAGCAGGTTCCCGACTCACAGGTGTAAACATATGTAAACACTCATCGAGCCAAGATTTGCACATGCTTCTTACGTCAGTTACGCCTCAATAAAAAATAAAATCACTGCCCATCAGTAGACATTAGAATGGAAAAACAAACGGTGGTCTCGCCATACAGTGGAATATTATTCGGCTGTAAAAAGGAACGAAGCCCTGATGTATACTCCCACACGGCCGAACTTGGAAAACGTGACGCTGGGAGAAAGACACCAAAGGTCACAGAGGATACAATTCCACAGACATGAAATATGCAGAAGAAGTAAATTTATAGAGACAGGAAGCAGATCAGTGGTTGCCAGGGGCTGGGGGAAGGAAGAGTGACTGCTGATGGGGACAGTTTTCCTTTGCAGGGGATGAAAATGTTTTGGAACTAGATAGAGGTGTTGCTTGTACAATACTGTGAATGCACTAAATGCTGCCGAATTGCTAACCCCAGAAGGGTTAATCTTATTTACTTATTTATTTTTGAGACAGACTCTTGCTGTGTTGCCCTGGGGTAGGCAGAAGACAGTGGTGTCATCATAGCTCACTGCAGCCTCCAACTCCTGGGCTCAAGCGATCCTCCTGCCTCAGCCTCCCGAGTAGCTGGGACTATAGGCGCGCTCCAGCGCATCTGGCTAATTTTCTTTGTTCCTTAGGTGGCTAATTTTTAAATTTTTTGTAGAAACGGAGTTTCACTATGTTGCTCGGGCTGGTCTTGAACTCCTGGGCTCAAGTGATCCTCCTGCCTCGGCCTCTCAAAGTGTTGGGATTACAGGTGTGAGTCACTGTGCCTGGCCTCTTGTTTTACTTTTTTAAAAAAGGAAGCTGCTAAAAAATTTTTTGGAAATTAAACCAATAAAAAATAAAGCAGGGTTGGCTCCTGTCCGGGCCCTGGCGGTGCCGTTTCACGCCTTCGTCGCATGTCAGCTGTTGCCAATGCTCCCTTCCTCACCGTCCAGCGGGGTCCTGGCTCTCCTGCTCTTCTGCCTGGACGCCTGTCCATGCCCCCATCCCCTCGGCAGTCTCCTGGCTTCTGCTACCCAGCACGCAGCCCAAGGGAGCTCTCAAACCAGGGATCACGCCACTCCCAGAGCACCCCCTAATTGGTGAGCTTCAGGAACATGGAGGCCACATCTGCTTATCCACCCTTGGAGGCCCCAGTTCCAGCCCAGGGAGCCCTGTCTCCCCAGTTTCTGCTCAATCAATTGCCCTGTGGGATGTGGGATGGGGTCAGATTAAGAAACGTCCTCCAAGCCTCCCAGTTTCCTAGGCCAGACGTGGTGGCTCATGCCTGTAATCCCAGCACTTTGGGAGGCTGAAGCAGGAGGATTGCTTGAGCCCAGGAGTTCAAGATCAGCCTGGGCAATACAGTGAGACCCCATGTCTACAAAAAATTTAAAAATTAGCCGGGCATGGTGGCGCACGCCTGTAGTCCCAGCTACTTGGGAGGCTGAGGCAGGAGGATCGCTTGAGCCCAGGAGTTGGAGGTTGCAGTGAGCTAGGATGACACCACGGCACTCTAGACCAGGCGACAGAGTGGAGACTCTGTCTCAAAACAAACAACAAAGAAACAAACAAAAAACAAATCCTGCCCCTTTGTGGGCCTGGTGCACAGCCAGGGCGTGAGACAGCGGGATGGGCTACCGCGTCTACAGCACCCGAGGGCCCCGTACCTGGCTGGCTTTGGCGTTGACGTTGCCGAGCCGGAAGAGCTGCAGGACGGTCTCGATGTCATCCTGGGTCTTCAGAGTGGCCAGGGCAGTGAGCATGATGGGGCTGTAGCCTGCGCGGTTCTGCTTGTCCACCTGGCAGACACCTGGGAGGGGGATGTGAGCCCTCAGACGCGGCCACGCCTCTGCCATCAGACTGTGGGCTCTGCCTCTGCCATCAGACTGTGGGCTCTGCCTCCGCCATCAGACTGGGAGGGCCACGTCTCCCCCAGTCGGACCATGAAACCGGGGCCGGCCGCGGCCTCCTCATCCTCCCCGGGGGGCTCACCACTGTCGAGCAGCTGTCGCACCACAGGAAAGTTGGCGTGGGACACGGAGTAGTGTAGCGCCGTGTTCCCGTTGCTGTCGGCGATGTTGACCACGTAGTCCAGCAGCTGCGCAGACATGGCCCGGAACGTGACCAGGTGGCGCCGCACAAGCTCGGGGTGTGCGTCGCTGCGGCAGGCCAGGCGCAGCCACTCCTGCAGCACCGTGGTGTAGGCCACCTTCTGCACGCGAGGCGGGCGGGAGAGGGTGCGTGAGGGCCGGGGGAGGTCCCCATCGCCCCCGGGACAAGGACCCAGGAGGGGAGTGGGGACACCCCGCCCCAGATGAGTCCCTGGGAGCAGAGCATGGTGCCTCTGCCCTGGACAAGGCCCTCAAGGGAGGTGTAGACACCTGAGAGGGAAGCATAGACCCTTGGAGGACGGTATAGACGCTGCAGTCCCCGACACGCCACGCAGAGGAAGGTGTGAACACCGCTATCTCGTATATATCTCCAAAGGCAAGTGCAGACACTCAAAAAGGGAAATATGGAAGCCCCTCCCTTGGGCCCCCGGAAGGACAGGAAGCCACGGCCAGGCCTGGCCAGCGGGCAGCCATCCTCCGGCCTCGCCCGGCCTCCCTGGCCCCTCGCCAAGGCCCATGACTCACGCACCACCACCCCAGCTCTGGGCTTGGGTCCCAGGGTCCCCAGTGGGTAGACAGAGGGAGACATGGAGGACAAGGACAAGCCAGGGGTAGGGGTGGAGGGGTGGCGGGGACCCCCAGGCCCAGGGCCAGACCGTACCAGCTCGCGCTCGCTGAGCGCACTAGGGTTGTCCAGGTACTTTTCCAAGGCCAAGCAGGCTGAGATGAGGTCGGGGCTTAGCTCCATCCTGCCAGGGGCAGACGAGTGAAGAATTTATCTCAGGGACACCCCCCGTAAGTCCCCTGGGTCACCCCCACTCCCCACATCCTCGGGGAGGGGCTCAATGCTCTACACCGTGTCACGTACACGAAGGTCACCTAAATGGTGGCATCTCAGACCCCCTTCACGTGGGACACACTTTTACACGCACCCCAAGGGGCAGACATGGGGAACACAAAGACGCCCCAAGACAAAGTAGATACAAAAGCCAAAGTTTAGTCTAAATGGCCAGTGGCAGGCGGAGAATGTTTCCCAAGGACGGATTTTTCATCAGGGGATTAAAAAAAAAGAAAAGATACAACCAGAATGGGCAGGTAGAATGAACATCCCAAAGAAGGTGTGCGGCTTAAGGACAAACTTTGCCTGGCCCCCTAAATCCTAACTCTAGCAGCCCAAAATACCCCACCAGGTCTTCATCGAAGCCTCGAACATCAGATGCCCAGAAGAAGAAGGTGCTTGTTCACTAATTCAGACTAAAGTATGCATGACTGACAGGAGGGTCCTTCAGAAAGTTTGAATGGTGGGATCTGAGGCAGGGGTCCTCCACCCCTGGCCCTGCCTGAATCCCTCCCACCCAGAAAACTGACCGGATCTCTTCCTCTGTGTTAGATCCCGCGGCCCCCTTGGCTGTGGGCACGTGCTGTGACTCCCGAGACAGCTGGCATTCCTGCCGGCTGGTCTTGGCCGCTGCTGTCCCCCCAGGCCTGAGCTGGGGTGCTTCGGCCACACTGGGAACCCTCTCCTCTGGCTCTGGGGCCTCGTTCTCCGTGCTGTCGCTATCTGAGATGTTCTCAGCCGTGGTGGAGTCCTCCGAGGACGACTCGTACCTGGGGAGGAAGGATGAGTGGAGTGGGGCAGATGATACAGATGGGGTGAAAACTGGTGGGGGAAGAAAGCAGGGATCTGGCTACTTGTCCTTCCTGGGCCTCAGTTTCCCCATCTGTTAAACAGCAGAGGGATAACAGCAACATGGACCTTTTGCCCTTGACCCTAACTTAATGCAGGTGTTACGGATTCAGACCCTGGTGCCACTGCAAATTGGACCCTCTTGTGCTTCTTGCTGCCTCTGGACAAACTTTGCCTGGTCTCCTAAATACTAACTCTGGCAGCCCAAAACACCCCATCAGGCTCTTTAGCAAAGCCTTCAGGACATCAGATGCCCAGAGGAAGAAAGTGCTTGTTCACTAATTCAGACTAAAGTGTGTATGACTAATGGGAGGGTTCTTCAAAGGGCTTGAATGGTGGGATTTGGTTATACCTCAGTGTCTGGAGCCAGCCTGCCCAGGCTACACTCCTGGGTCCCTGCGTGAGCTCCAGCAAGGTACTGAGCCTCCTTGTGCCTCAGTTTCCTCATCTATCTGTTGTGGTTTGATTAAAATAATTAATCAGGCCAGGCATGGTGAGTGGCTCACGCCTGTAATCCTAGCACTTTGGGAGGCCAAGGTGGGAGGATCCTTTGAGCCCAGGAGTTTGATTCCAGCCTGGGCAACATAGCGAGACCCCATCTCTAAAAAAAATGTAGAAAAAATCAGCCAGGTGTGGTGGTGCACACCCATAGTCACAGCTGCTTGGGAAGCTGAGGCGGGAGGATCACCTGAGCCTAGGGGTTCAAGGTTACGGTGAGCTATGATTGTGCCACTGCACTCCAGCCTGGGCAACAGAGCAAGACCCCATCTCAAATAAATACATTAATCAACCAAAGCGAGGACTTAGAATAAGGCACTTAGAATGTTCAGGTGCACGAATGAACTTAGCAAGGGACAGAAAGCAAGAGATGGGGGCTCTTCTCACCCGCCGTTAACACCCACAAACTGAAGGCTCCGCTGGTGGGCCACTGGGTCTGTGGGCTCTTCTTTCCGCTTCATGATGGACCGGATGCCCGCCTGGGGCCTGCCTGCAGGGGAGGGGTGGTGTCGTGAGAGTTGCCAGCAGCCAGACAGCACGCCTGGGCCATCCTGGGCCGCCACCCCTCTAGGCAGCCACCCCCACTTACCTGCACCCCCTGCCCCCTCGGGTTCTTGGGAGGCTGCCTGCTGGGCGGGCTCCCTGTTGGCGGTGTCACGGGCAGGCACCTGGCCCGCATTCTTCTCGGGCTGGGCCGGGGAGGCTGCTGTGGACTCCGGGGGTGGCGAGGATGACTCTGCAGGAGTCTGTGGGAGACCTGCAGGGACGGGAAACGAGGTGTCCACTATGGGTGACAACAGCCAAACAATGACAGTTGTGACAGCTGCTGCCGTTGGTCACATACCCAAGGCCAGGTGCTGCCCGAGGGCTAATCCTTTCATATCGCGTCGAATCTTCCAGGCCCACGAGGGGGCTTGGATTATTACAGACAAGGAAACTGAGGCACAGAAAGTTGTCACGGTCGCCCGGTGAGTGAGTGGCAGAATCCAGTCCCAATCCCAGTCTGGTGCCTGTCAGTAGCGGGCCAGGGATAGGGAGGACCGTGTGGCCCCATTTGAGACACCCCTCTGATACTGTACCCAGTGTTTTCTAGAAATAAGGTTTCATCAAGCTGAGCTTGGTGGCTGCAGCAGCTCAAATTTCCCAACTCTAAACTGTGTGACCTCCAGCAAGTCACTTAACCTCTCTGTGTCTAAAGCGAACGACATTTCCTACCTCATGGTGGTGGTGTACAAACCGAAGACAGTGAGACAGGGTAAAGGGCTTAGGATGCCTGTACATCAAGAACATTCGAGAAGCATTTGCTAATTCAAGAGAATCATAAAATATATTTTAGATGGGATATAACAGCGTCATGAGGCCGGTTGCGGTGGCGCACGCCTGTAATCCCAGCACTTTGGGAGACTGAGGCGGGAGGATCGCTTGAGGCCAAGAGTTCAAGACCAGCCTAGGCAACATAGTGAGACCCTGTCTCTACAGAAAAAAGAAAAATTAGTTGGGCGTGGTGGCGCATGCCTGTAGTCCCAGCTACTCGGGAGGCTGAGGCAGGAGGATCGCTTGAGCCCAGGAGTTTGAGGTGGCAGTGAGCTAGGATGACACCACTGCACTCCAGCCTGGGTGACAGAGTGAGACTCTGTCTCAGAAATAAAATAAAAAAAAAAATCAGAAAAGAAACAATAAGGGCTATTAGAAAATTAAAACTAAAACCCCACCCAGAGTTTCAGTTTGAGAAGATGAGGAGGTTCTGCAGACGGACGGTGGTGAGGATTGCACAGTGTGAACGTACCCAAAGCCACTGAGCTGTACACTTAAAAGCGGTTAAGATGGTAAATTGTTTTTAAAGAGACAGGAGGATCTTGCTGTCTTGCCCAGTCTGGAGTGCAGTCGTGCAATCACACGTGGCCAAGTGCAATGTGTCAGGAGGCAGGTGGGCCACGCACAAGCTCAATCTCTGCCCCAAACTCAAGAATCTTGCTTTATAGTCCCAGCAAAGTCAAAGTATGAATTTTGACAGTGGAGGACGTCGTGCTGAGTGAGAGACGCCAGACACAGAAGGACAAACGCTGTGTGATTCCACTTACACAAGGTCCCTAGAGTGGTCCCATGCGCAGAGACGGAAAGTAGAGTGGTGGGTGCTGGGGAGGGGGACGGGGAGTGAGTGTTTCGTGGGGAGAGAGTTTCAGTTTGGGAAGATGAGAAAGTTCTAGAGATGGAGGGTGGTGATGGCTGCACGGCAATGTGGATGTGCTTAATGCCGCTAAACTGTGTAGTCAAAAATGGCTAAGATGTCTTGTAGTATAATGTTTAGAGACAAAAAAAAAAAAATAGTTAAGATGGTAAATTTTAGATTATGTATATTTTACAATTTTTTTTTTTTTTTTTTGAGACAGAGTCGCACTTTGTCGCCCGGACTAGAGTGCAGTGGTGTCATCATAGCTTACTGCAGCCTCCAACTCATGGGCTCAAGTGATCCTCCTGCCTCAGCCTCCTGAGTAGCTGGGACTGCAGGCTTACACCACCATGCTTGGCTAATTTTTTCTTACTTTTTGTAGAAATGGGGTCTCCCTATGTTGCCCAGGATGGTCTTGAACTCTACAGGAGAAAAATCAAGCTAGATCCCTACCTCACACCATACACAAGAAAGAAATTCTCAAGGAGTAAGACGAAAGTCCAGGGAAAAAACCAAAGGGAAACAGTGTAACGAAATATCGAGGGCCTCCAGATGGGAAAAAATTCCTTTAAAAATTCCTCCAGGCACAAACCATATATGAAAATAACCATGGGTTTAATTGCGTACAAAATGAAGACTTCTATTTGATTCCAAAACCATTATAGACAATATTTATCAATATATGAAGACAGAAGGGTGTTGGCGGGAGAGCTACACTGCCAAAAATTGGCAAGGGATTATCTTCTAGAACAGGAGTCAACAAACTTTTTCTGGAAAGGGCTAGATAGCAAACATTTTCAGCTACATGAGCCATAAGGTCTCGGTCGCAAAGACTCACCTTTCAGTAGTTGTAACACGAAAGCAGCCATAGGCGGTATGTGTGTGATCAGGCATGGCTGTGTTCCAATAAATTCCAATGTTATATAATTTTAATCATGTCACAAAATAGTATTCTTTCTTAATTGTTCAACCATTCAAAACATCAAAATCATTCTTAATTGTGCCATACAAAAACAGACAGCATACTGGGCACGGTGGCTCGTGCCTGTAATCCTAGCACTCTGAGAGGCTGAGGCGGGTGGATCGCTCAAGGTCAGGAGTTTGAGACCAGTCTGAGCAAGAGCAAGACCCTGTCTCTACCAAAAAATAGAAAGAAATGATCTGGACAACTAAAAATATATAGAAAAAATTAGCCGGGCATGGTGGCACATGTCTGTAGTCCCAGCTACTCGGGAGGCTGAGGCAGTAGGATTGCTTGAGCCCAGGAGTTTGAGGTTGCTGTGAGCTAGGCTGATGCCACGGCACTCTAGCCTGGGCAACACAGTGAGACTTCGTCTCAAAAAAAAAAAAGAAAAACAAAAACAGCATGCTGGGCACGGTGGCTCACACCTGTAATCCCAGCACTTTGGGAGGCTGGGGTGGGAGGATCGCTTGAGGCCAGGAGTTTGAGGCTGCAGTGAGCTATGATCACACTCATGAACAGCCACTGCACTCCAGCCTGGGCAACATAGCAAGACCCCATCTCTAAAACAGCAACAAATGAGATATAGCACTTTGTAGCAGCGTCAGATGTAAAAAAAAAGGGAGAAAAATCGAGAAAACTGTAAACTGGTGGGGATGTGACGAAATGGGGATCTTGAACCCGAGCATGGTGGTAGGAACGGCGACAGGGACAGCTTTGTCAGAGAGGATCGGACAAGACCTGGCGCGAAGTTGTGCGTCCTCTACGCCCCAGCAAGCCCCGGAAAGGGGACGTGTGAGGATGGCCCCAGCGTTATTCTCGGTGGCCAGAAGTTGGAAGGAACCCAGGTGCGGGGATTAGAAAAGAAAAAGGTTTGGTACAACCGGGGCAGAAATCTACGCGGCCATTACATGTGACAAGCCAGATTTACAAACATCAGTGTGGAGAGTTCAAAAATAGCGTATGGAGAGGGGAAAATAAGAAACAGAAAGAGACTTTTGTTTTTCTGAAGCACGATACCATTTAAGGAAATTAAACACGCACAGGGCCTGTTTTTCCAGGACACCCAAGGATCTAAATAAGCCTCTGGAAGGTGGATCGCAAGGAATGACACGAAACAGGGTGGGGGTGGCGTTGACGGTAGAGAGCTATAGCCTGTGGGTGCAGTTTTTATGTTTCTAAATGGCTGGGGGGAAAAAAAGGGATGCTATTTGGGACACATGAAAAGCATATCAAATTGAAATTTCTGTGTCTGCAAATAAAGTTTTATTGGAACACGGCCACGCGCATTCATTTACATAGTGTCTATGGCTGCTTTTGTGCTACAAAATGGCATAGCTGAGGCACTACACTCATCAAAATGCATACATTAAATATGTGCATATTTTTCCATATTAATACCTCAATAAAGTGGGGGGGAAGAACTGAGAAAGAGTTGAATTAACGTGACAAACACGTGACAACCCATATGGCCTGCAAAACTAAAAATATTTTCCGACCCTCGGCATGGAGGGTAGAAGATCAAAGTGAAACAAACACCGAGTGACAACATGGAGTTGGTGGGCACAGATCGGTGGGGACACTTGTCGTCAGCTCAAGAGTGAGATGAATTCAGTTTTGGGCTCCTGAATCCAGAACAGAGTTTTAAAAATTTAAATCACTCTACTGCAGGGGGTGTAAAACAAATTGGTTAAAGATATCAAGGTCCTGAAAAATGCCCTTCGAGAAACCCGTCCTGAGAAATCGATCAGAGGAGGCGAGGTTGACAGTGGAGAAAAATTAGATGCAGCTGGATGGCCGGGCATAAGGACCAGCCAGATAAATCTCAGCTTCCCCACATGTCAGAAAATGACGTGGCCGTTAAAATAAACAGCACATCCAAAGAATCTTTGTTAACCAGAGGAAACACTCCTGGGATAATGTTAAATCAGAGATGGAGTTTAATCCTGGCTTTGAGGACCGTGGGCAAATCCCTTAACTTCCCCTTTGCCTCAGTTTTCTCCTCTGTAAAATGGGGCTAAAAATGTCACCTACCTCATAGGGGTGATTTAAATGAATGAAAGTATGCAAATGGCATCAAATAATGTCCCGGCACATTGTAAGTGCGTTTACAAACAAAATACTGCAAAACAGGAACGTCCACAAGCTCTGTGTTGCCATTCTTGAAAACCAACATATTATTTTATGCATTTAAAAAATTGGGAAGTTGGCTGGTCACGGTGGCTCACACCTGTAATCCTAGCACTCCGGGAGGCCGAGGCAGGAGGACTGCTTGAGCTCAGGAGTTCAAGACCAGCCTGAGCAAGAGCAAGACCCCGTCTCTACCAAAAATAGAAAGAAATTAACCAAATAACTAAAAATATATACAAAAAATTAGCCGGGCATGGTGGCACATGCCTGCAGTCCCAGCTACTCGGGAGGCTGAGGCAGGAGGATGGCTTGAGCCCAGGAGTTTGAGGTTGCTGTGAGCTAGGCTGACGCCACGGCACTCTAGCCCGGGCAACAGAGCCAGACTCTGTCTCAAAAAAAAAAAAATTTGGAAGCAAAGAAAACAGACATGTTGACAACAGCTATACCTGGGCACTGTTGGGTGTACAGGAGTTTTATTTCTTTGTTTTCAGATTTTTCTATACTTTCCAAACCTTCCACAAAGACTGTGAATTGCTTTCACAGGAATACGTTTTTGAACAAGAGCAGACGAAATCTGAAAGCTTTGGAGACACCCCGCCAGCACACATCAATGGCTGTCATTGTCCCTTTTCCTGCTCATCTGCCTGTGGTGCCTTTGCCAGGTGGGGGAGGAGGGCGAGGGGATTCTGTGGGGTCTCCAGGCCTCTGCACACCCCACCTACCTTTGCCAGCCTGACTCCCACCCTCCCAGCAGTGAGTGAATTCCTACTCTCCTAAAAAAAAAAAACAAAACAAAAAAAACAAAAAAATCACGGTGGCCTCGCTGGATGGTAAGGAGGTTGGGCCCCATTCTGCCTCCTCCTCCAGGGAGCCCTCCCTGATTTAACCACCAGGTAAGTGAACACGATGCATGAACATCACTGGAGTGCTTGTCTAGTCCTTGTACTATCTCATTTCATTTCCCATATTGCTCTAAGCAGCACAGCATACAAGCCCTGAGGGATCCCCCTCCCATGCTCAGACTCCCCTGTACCTCATTTTTTTCTGGGCTCATCACATTCCAACTTATCTAACACCTTGATAAGCCAGAGCCCCTCTCTCATCTCAGGGCCTTTGCCCCTGGGTGCCCCTTCCTGGAACGCTCTTTTTTTTCTGTTTTTTTTAGAGATGGGGTCTCGCTCTTGCTCAGGCTGGTCTCGAACTCGTGGCCTCAAGCGATCCTCGTGCCTCAGCCTCCCAAAGTGCTGGCATTACAGGTGTGAGCCACCACGCCCATCCTCAGCCTCGTATTAATCCAGTGATGTTGTACTGTAAGGACCCTCGATTTGCAAATGAGGAAACTGAGGCACAGAGAGATTAAATAGCTTGCTCAAGGACACAGAGCCAGGGAACGGGAAGACCAGAATTTGAACTGAAGTCACCACTCCATCAAATTGCCACCAACTCCATGCTCCCATTTTATTTGCTTCCAACGCACGTTCTCTGAAATGATAATTTTTCGCTTATTTGGTACACTGTCTCATCTATCTATGGCAGAGGCTTTTGTGTCTATGTCGTTCACTGCTTTGTGCTCAGTGATTAGAAGAGTCTGGCACACAGCGAGCGTTTGGGCAGTTTGTGGAGTGAGAAGATACTGGAATGAATTAACACACTCCAGTTCTGCCCAAGCAAGGCAGGGATTGGGGTGGGCTGCAGAAAGAGGGAGTGAAGTGAGACACAAGGAAGAACTTCCAGGGGTGGCAGCTGGCCTAGGGGGTGGATATCGCTATGTCTGTATGTCCTGCAGAGCATGGCTGCTCCGGGTGGCACGTCTGGAATGGAGGTCGCCTCTCAGAGATTCCGAGGTTGGGCCAGGCAGGGCCTCTGGCTGGGGGCCAGAACCACAGGGCTGGGTGTTTGCGATGGATACAGAACAGATGGGTGGTGCCCCGAGCCAGCCGGCAACAACACGGGGCAGGGAGAAAACACAGCTGGGTCCCCGCCTCTGAGCCTGTGCCGTTGGGTCTATCGGTGTGGCTCTGCCCACTTGACCTTCGAGGCTGGGGTAAGAACTTGGGTCCCACCTTCGGGCCTGGCCACAGCAAGTTTAAGCCGACCCACGTTCAAATCCTGGCTCGGCCACTTCCTGAGCCTCAGTTTCCCCAGCTATAAACGGGGTTCGCCTGAAAGTTAGCAGCCGAAGCAGCGACAAGTACTGAGTGTGTGTGTTCAATTCACAAGGGTTCTGGGGGAGGAGGGGACCATTACTGGGCCACTTCACAGCCAGGGATACCCGGGATAACATGGCAAGATGTAGAATGTCCCTGGCTCGCCCCAGCCCCCACCTCTCCACGTTTGCTAAAGGACAGCTGTCGTTACCATTATGAATTAAAATTCCCCCGGGGCCTTGGGGAAGCTGAGATTCTACACACCCGGCATCTCCTTTCCTGGCACGAGAGCTCAGCACTTCCTCCGGGAAGCACCCCCTTCCCCCCTCAAAGGCCACAGGCCTTGGGTGGGGGCTCATTACCCCCAGGATCCATGCATAGCTGGGCAGTGAGGGATACAGGGACTGGTTCACCAATGGACACATGACTCGGGCCACCCACTGAGGCCCGCTGAGCTGGAAAGAGAGACACCTAGAGCGAGGGGGGGTCACCTTCCTTTGCCTGCCTGCAAGAGGAGCCCCCAGAATAAAACCGAAGAAGAGAAAGACAGTGAGTTAGATTCCTGATGCTATGAGCGCCTGGATCCAGCTATGCCTGAAGCTGTCCCTAAGTTACCCAAACACCACATTTTCTTTTCATTGCTTAAACTGCTCTGAGATTGAGTCCTGCCACTTACTCGATAAATAGGGAGGATTTCTGCCCAGCAAAAAACAGCCTTGGGGGAATTTCCCCCAGATACCGCCTGTTTTCTGGACACTGGCAATGTGCCAGACACCTGATTCTCTGCATGGTCCTTACAGCTCTGATGTCAGCAGCACAATTCTCCCTCCGGTATGGATGAAGAGACAAAGATTCCAAGGGCCAGAGAGATCTGTCTGGTGCAAGGCCAGGGCTGGGGGCTGGACACCGCATGGCATTCAGAGAGGGTCTAGGCTGTACCTTGGGAAGAGGGGCCGCCAACCGCTGTCCCCGGCCTGCGATCGCTTACCTGCGGGCCCGTTGCAGCTTCGCTCTGTGATGCTGATTTTCTTCACCACGTGGAAGTTGCTGGTGGGTGCGGTGGACACTGGGCACATCGCCTCCACCACCTCGTGGCTGCGGAACACGGGCGGGCTCTCTGCCCCGCCGGGTGTCGCCAGGGCCCGCAGCCCAGCCCCGTAAGGCTCTAGGCTCTGGGCCCGCTGTGCGGGGGCCCCGGCGGCTGTGCTGGCCGCCACCTCCACCTCCCGTGGCCCTTCCACCACTCGGACGGTGTCCACGCGGACCGGGCTGTCCGGCGGTGGCCAGGCCTGGGTTTTGGGGTCGGCCTGGCGGGCCTGCGCCGCCCGCAGCTCCTGGAGCGCTTTCTTGAGCTGGGTCTCCAGCACGGCGACCTTGGCGGCGAGGGCCGCCTCCCCGTCGGGCATGCCCAAGTCCCGCTCTCGGACCCAGGTGCCCACGCTGCGGGTCTCGAGCGACACTGCGTCCTCGGGGGGCTCGGGGAGGTCCAGGCAGAGCTCCCCGCGGCCCCGGGCCCCCGCGGGGTGGCCCAGGAACTTCTGGCTCTTCAGCTGCACGGTGAGCTGCCGCTTCTCCTCCTGCAGCACCGACAGCTTCACCTGGAGCACGGGGATCAGCTTCACCTGCTCCTCCAGCTGCCGGAGCTTCCGCAGGGCGCCCGCCATCTGCTCCCGCACGTGCGCCAGGTGCCCGGCGCTGGGCGCCACCGGCGTGGACAGTCCCGAGCCCCGCGGCGTCGGGGGCGGCAGCCCCACGCCCACCAGGGAGCCCGTGGAGCCGGCTGCGCTGGGGGTCAGCGAGCCCAGGCCGGAGGGCGTGGCCGCCTGGTCCTCGAGGCGGCGCCGGGCGTCCAGCAGCGTGCGCTCCACGCGGGGGTTGAAGCCGGCGCGGGCCTCCAGGGCGCCGTACTGGGGGTAGAAGCCGCGGCCGCAGTAGGAGTAGGCCGAGTGGCGGCTGTCCCCGCTGGCGTTAGAGCACAGCGACTCGGTGGACGTCCACCAGGAGCCAGGGCCGCGGGGCAGCGAGCCCAGGCGGGGACGGCGCTGCACGGCCACGCGCCGCAGAGTATGTCCCTTCTCGATGTCGTCCACGTACTTGAGAAAGTCCAGATCGAGGCGGTAGCCGTAGGGCGTCTCCACGGAGTAGGGCGGGTCGGGCTCCTTGGCAGGGAAGGCAGGCGGGGAAGCCGGGCCGGGGGTCCCTGGGGTGGGGAGAAACACCAGCAGCTCTGAAAACTATTGTCCCCTTCTTGGGACAAAGACCGATGCCTGGGGAGTCCCGGTTTGTCTGCCCGACAGACTGGAGCCCCCCAGGCGCTCAACTGTGCCTCTCATGTCAGACCCCCGGGGCGGGGCTGTGCCTCCGTCACCAGACACCAATGCTGGGCTGTGTCCTACCCTCGAACCCCCCAGAACAGGGCCCTCTTCCCCCCGAGACCCCTGACCTGGGAAGGGGGCTGGCACGTGCAGAACTTGGGCCATCCTCTTGCGGCAGATCGTCCTCGGAAGTCACTTGGGGGACGGAGTCAGACTGCCTGCAGCACCGGCTGAGGCTTACCTGGGAGGAGGGGGCCGTGGGGCCGGGAGTCAGGAGGACTCTGCAGGGGGAGGGGAGACGAGGCCAACCCCCCACAGTTGCCCCCCACCAAGGCCTGGGACCCTCTCATAGGCGCACACCCGGCCTGGCCACGCACAGAAAGGGGTGGAGGTGGGGGGGCACCCTGAGGCCTGGAACAAAGAAACCAAACCTCACCGCCTGTGCGCACATCTGTCCGGCCCCTGGACAGGCTCCAGCTGTTCCCACAGCCCTGCCTCCACATGGCCCCTGGGCCAGGGGGCCCCAAGCCTGACAGGCCCCACCCTTCCTGCACCCCCTCCCCTCGGCCCAGGCCCAGAGCTGACCACAGGGAAAGACGGGGGCTGGGGCACTAATGGGTGTAGGGGGGCCAGCCTTCCTGCAAGGGTCCGAGGAGACAGAGACACAGGGGGACAAAGAGAGACACAGCAGGGGGTAGGGGACCCCAGGTGACCCCAAAGCAGAGCGCCCAGTCAGGCGAGACCTGGGGTGGGGGGTAGAGAAAGTCGGGGAGGCAGCAAGGAGTGAAGCCTTTCCCCTTTATGGAAACAATTTTCTCTAAAAATAAACAATTTCACTGCCGGACTACACAGAACTTCCTGCCCCCCCAGGATGTGTCCGGGCTTGGGGCGCAGCGGCAGGACTAGAGGGCTGAGCCACCCAGGAAGTCATGGTGGGGTGGGGGGAGGAAGTAAGGGGGGCGCCTGGAGGCTGCAAAAGGCAGGGACAATCAGGGCCTCTCACTAAGCCCCTCTTAGTCCTGGAGGCTGGCCAGGGTCCTTTTGTCCCCAGTATAACCCGTCTGAACTTGGCCGGTCCTTTCTGCTGTCTAACCTGCAGCCATCATGCTGCAGAGGCCCCGGCTCATCCCACCACCAGAGCAGACCCTTTCCAACCTGTGGGTACCTGGGAGGATGGGCCAGGTGGGGCACCTGCTGGGCATGAAGGCGGGGCTGGGGCTCCAGGGGCAGCGAGCTTGTCCTTCTTGTCAGGTCCTGTCCTGCTTAGTGCCTTGCTTTAGTCTCTCTCCAAGTCTCTTTGCGTCTCTCCACGTCTCTGTCTCTTTCCCTGTCTCTCCACGTCTCTGTCCTCACTTCTCTGACTTTCAAACACCTGGAACACACGGTCACCAACTGTAGGAAATTTGGGGTGTCCATCTGGCTGGTGGCTCCCCCACTGAACAACAGGAAGTCGATCAAAAACATTTTCTGGGCGCCTAAGAGAGATCTAGAGGCAGGAAGCAGGGCTGGAATAGTCTGGGAAAGGGAGGGCGTGTGTGGCTAGAGGTGGGGGGAGGGCAAATGGGCACAGAAAGGTACAGTGGCTTGCCCAGGGTCACTAGGACCGCGGGGAAGTGGCTGGACCTGGACTTGAACCTAAGCCTGCTCACCAAGCCACCACCCCACACGCTACACCACTCTACCCATTGCCCAGACGTGCAGATTGAGGTCTGAGGGTCCCCAGTCATTTGATTGCCGTCCATGCGGACCACGGAGTCCGGGCGAGGAGAGAAAGGAAATAAAGGGGTGTGTGGTGGGGGTGGGGTGTCTTCGGCTGAGGCCCCTCTCTCACCATGGGACCTCTAGGGGGAGGGGAGGAGGGACGCAACACACGACTGAGAGATGGAGACACAGGAGACTCCAAGAGGGGACAGGTTGGGGACGCAGGGAAAGGGCGCGGGTCTCCCCAGAGTCCGCCCCCCTCCCCCCGCCACAACGGCTTGGACATCTCCGGGGTCTTCCCTCCCGTCTCCCCGCCGCAAACTCGGGGCGAGAAGGACACCGCCCGTGCAGGGGGGCGGGGCCTGCGGGGTCCCCGGCTAATGGCAAACAGCTGCCGCTCCCCACGCCGGCCCAGCCGCCAAGCCCAGGCCCAGCCGGGCGGACGCGCGGCCGCCTTCCCGCCGCCTGGGGCCTGGCTCCGGCCGGGCCGAGCAGGAGGGCGACGGGGGACGGTGCAGGAGGGGAGGACAGAGGCACAGATGGGGACAAACATGGGGACAGGAGCAGAGGAGAGGCAGGCGGGCAGAAGGGCAGGGCACGAGGAACGGATGCAGGAACCGGGTCAAAGACGGGGAGGGGGCAGTGACGCGGGGACCGAGGCGCTCCAAGTCCGGAAAGTTTGGACGCAGACGGTGGAGCTGGAGGCGGCGCGAGACCCGCGAGGTCGTTCGTGCCCCGGGGTTGGGGTTGGCGCAGGGGCAGGGAGCCACACTCGCAACCCCGATCAGGACTCGAACCCCGACCCAGTCCCGGGGTCCTACTCGCCTGGCGCGCTCCGGCCACCGCTGTCCCTGCGTCCCGCCGCCCGTGCGTCCTGCGCGCGCCGCAGCCACCCGGCCGCCCGGCCCTCGGCGGTAGCCCCGCCCCCTCCGGCCGGCCCCGCCCCCTCCAGCCGCCCAGGCGCCCGCAGCTGCGGTGGGGGGCGGGGATGCAGAGTGGGGGGTGGGGGGGACAGGATCTCACCTGGCGGGCAGGTGAGAATGCGCGCGCCGGGGTGTCCTGCCTCGCTGCCCCTCCCCCAGCATGTCCCAGGAACAGAGTCTCCCCCGACTACAGGCCTCCCCCACCCGCTGCAGCTGGGTAGCTGCGGGGGTTGGGGGGGAGCAGAATGGCTCAGCGGTGGCGGGAGGGGCGGGGCTGGCCGGGGCCCAGCTCCTGGAGGGCGGGGGGCGGGAGGTCACCCCTCCCCCTGGCAGCCCAGGGCTGGAAGCGGCCCAGCGCACTCCGGGTACATGGTGGTGTGACCGCCGCGGGGAGGGGGTTGTAGCTTCCGCAGGAGGCTGCACCGGAGCCTGCAGTCCAGCCAGACCTGCCGCTGTGTGTGCCTCAGTTTCCCCGTCTGTAAACGAGGATTATCCTGTTGCCCAAAGCTTAGGCAGTGAAATTCGGGCATGCAACCTTATCTGTGTACGGCCTTGTCTGCTAGAATGTCAGCTCCCTGAGGGCAGGAATTTGTGTGTCTGTTGTCACCACTGTGCCTCTGGCACCCAGTGTTCTGTGTCTCAGTCCACGGCGTGTGGATGTAAAGGAATGGACTCTGAGCACGTGACAGTGACGCAGCCCTAGTGACCACACCACACTGCTCGGGTTGCTTATAAAAACCATTTTAAATTAACAAAGGTAGGGGGAGTGTCAGTGCACACAGACCGGAACAGACAGAGGGACAGAGGGCCCAGCCCCGAGTACAGTGTGGTCATCCCACCGCCGAGTGGGCAGTGGGGGAGAGTCCCAGCAAGGCACAGGCAGCTGAGGCCTGGGTGCTGGTCCCCGGGGTGTGGCTTCAGGCCCTGCCGGCTCAGAGGTCTGCCTTCCGGAAACTTGCTCTGTTCAGAGAGTTCCTGGAGGAGGAATTGGGGGGTGGGGGGGGCGTGGTCAGCATGGCCATGGCCCTCCTATGCTATAGCACTCCCCAGCCCTCCTCCCCCTCCTCCTCCTCTTCCTCCAAGGATCCTTCCAGGGTCTCTCCTGCCCCCTTCACATCCATCCCAACCTGCTGTGGGATTTGCAGATTCTTAGAATGTACCACGAGAGGTCCGAATCATCCCCAATTTACAGATGTGGAGACTGAGGCTCAGAAAGATGAATTCACATGTCTGGGAGGTGGCCTGCCTTTGTCCACCAGGATGACATATCCAGATGCTTGTGCAAAGCCTAAGCCACACGCACACGTGTTGCCACGTACATGTACAACAGCCCCCATCCTGTATCTGTTCTGGCCTGCCTCGACTTGCCCATTCTGATCTCTGGGGCGGGGGTGCCAGGTCAAGGCACCTGAGGCTGGCTGGGGTTGGCGCCAGCAGCTGGGGCAGGCGCTGGGTGAGCAGGGGCTGCAGGGCCTCTCGCAGGCGGCAGTAGTTGCGCTCCAGCTCGCGGTGGTACTCCTTCTGGTCCGGCCCGATCAGGGCCTTGTTCTTCCGTAGCGCGTCTTCACACCTGGGGACCAGAGGCGCTCAGGAGAGAAAGCAAGATCGGGCGTGGGGGGCTTCCAGAAGGTGGGGTGAGGCATGCAGAGAGACCTGCAGCGGGGCTCAGGTGAACTGAGGAGCCATGTGGGGGTCAGACAGCGACAAGGGACCTAATGGGAATCAGGTGGACAGACAGCCCCAGCGGGGGTTTCGGGCCTACCTCTTGCAGAAGTCCTTGAAGCACAGCCGCAGTTTGTTGTGATGCCGGAAGAGTTTGGGGTCTTCTGGGATCTCTGCCAGAAACACCTGGGCCACCTCCAGGGGACCCTACGGGGTGAGAGGGATGCGTGAGCATGTCTGCATGGCGCCTGGAGTCCCCCTGCACCCGCCCCCATCCCAGCGGTGCCTGGTTCACGGTGGGCCCCACGGAGCCCTGCAACACCATCTGCAACATCTTGGCGTCTGGCGGGTCCTGCTCGGTGGCAAAGGCCAGCTCCCGTGTCTTCTTCTGCATGTCCTCGATGGCCACTTCAACAGGCGTCAACACTGTCTGCGGGGGCAGGGAGGAGGGCGTGCACTCATTAGGGCCTGAAGATGTCCTGACCCCAAGCCAGTCCTGGGTCGCTCTGACCCCACTGGGGACAGGAGGGGGTTGTCCAAGAGGCTGGGCAATGAATGGAGTCTGGAGGCTTCTGGGCACCTGGGTCTGAGAGGGTCTTGGCTTAGCTGCCTTTGTCTGACTTGGGGCGCTATGGTCTGGTTGGAGGCTAGCCTTGGGCCTGCTGGGTCTAGTGCCCTGGGGCATCTGGGGGCTCTACATCTGGGGTCTCCAGGCCTCCCTGGGTCTGGAGGTATGGGTTTGAGCCTAGAGGTTGGAACGTGGGGTTCCCATAGCACCCCAAGCTGGTTCTGGGGCATGTGGGCCAATTCCTGGAACTGGGGTCCCCACGTCTCTCCTCCCTGGGTCTGGGGTCCCTGTGTTTCCCCTCCCCGGGGCCTCCCTGGGTCTGATGTCCCCTGCCTTCCCTCCATCCCCTGGGCCTGGGGTCCCTGCCCACCTCCTCCCGGTGGCACACGCGGATGCGCGTCTTGATGTAGGGGAAGGCGTGGTTGGTGCTGAGCAGCGTCTTGCGCTTGTGCTGCTCGTGCAGCTCCCCGTGCGCGCGGCCGTCGGGCGTGAAGGGCGTGCAGAACAGGAAGGTGCGCAGCCCGTAGTTGCGGTCGAAGTAGGTCACCCGGTCCTTGAGCTCGTACGTGTCAAAGTACGGTTCGACGTATGTGATCTGGATGTAGGCCTGGGGCGCGGGGTCAGGGGTGAGGGGCCCATGGCCCCAACACACACCCGCCAGGCCCTGTCCCTGGTGAAAAAGGGATCTGGGCCTCCCTGGGTCTGGGGGCTTTGAATCTGGGATTCCCAGGTCTGCCTACGTCGGGATGTTTGGGAATCCCATGAGAACTAGGATTTGAGGGTCCCCAGGAAATAGTACTTGGGGTCTCTTTGAATACAGGGTTGCAGGAAAATGGTCAGGAAGACCCACCTTTTGGGGGTCGAGCTTGGACTTGTCCACGGGGTTAGAGTCTTTGATAATCTCCACGACGTCGTCCCCGAACCTCTCCGTGTAGAACTCCTGGGGACACGGGGCTGACTCGGGGCCGACTCGGGGCCACCCAGGCACACGCAGCAGCCCTCGCCCTAGCCCCAGGGCAGCCCCATCCCCCATCCCGCCCCCCACCGCAGGGACATGCCTCTAGCCGGTGTGAGATCTCTGCCAGCTTCGTGATCGAGGGCTCTTTGTACACGAACTCCTGCTCGTCCAGGTCGCCAAAGCGGGCGCCGTAGAAGCCCACGCGGAAATAGGTCCCGAACATGCGCTGGGGCTGTGAGGAGGGGTGTGGTTGCCTGGGAGGCCCCCTCTGGGGGTCTCCCTGCCTCAGAGATAGGTGGCCTTGGGCCCCATAGGGCAGGATGCAGAGAGACATCCTGGTGAGATGAGGATGGACAAAGGGGAAGCCTGAGAACATCAGGACTGGGGTGTGAGGACCCCAAGAACATGGGGTCATGGGTGCAGGCAGGGGACCCCGAGAACATCATGGCGTGGATCGCAATATGAAATCAGGACTGGGACTGTACTGCTCACAGGTATGTCCCTAATGGATACTTGACTGGGTATACAGCAGGTGCCAAATAAATGCTTGAACGACCGAGGGAAGGCACGGCTGTCTCTTGCTCTGGGACAGAGGCTCTGGCTCCCTTGTTCCAGGGCATTCCCTCCCCCTGCCTCCAGCCCTAAGTTTGGAAGAAGAAACCCCTCCGCCCCATAGAAACCGACCCCTCGACCGGAAAGGAAGTGGGGTGGCTCTGTGTTCACTCACCAAGGCAGGTCCCGGTGGGGTTGGGAGGACATGGCGAGGCCGGGGGACATTAGGGGGGACAGGGATACAAAGTCATGGGAGAGGTCAGAGGTCAGAGCCCCCAACCCCTAGGGTCCTGGTGATGCTACCCCATGAGAGTCATTCCACGGGACAGAGAGATCAGGGACTCGGGGAGGGAGGGGACCTGCTCGCCCCACCCGGCCCCCACCCAGCCTGCCCGCCCGCCTGCCAGGACTCTGGGTTCCTGCCATCTTTGGCCAGAAAACTCTCCCCAAACTAGGAGATGTCTAAAAATAGACCCAAGTAGGGAAGAGGCGGGATTGGGGAGGGGGCATGTGAAGCGGGAGATTGTGGGGGAAGCTGGGGAGAGACAGAGACCAAGAGAGACACAGAGACAGAGAGCTAGGAAGATAGGCAGAGACTCGGTGGTGGGCAGAGAGACAGAGACAGGGAGAGATGGAGGGTAACAGACCACGAGACACTGGAGAGACAGGCTGGCAGAGAGAGGGAGCGAGAACACCCCACCTCCCCCCTGCAGTGCCCGAGCGAGCCTTGCCCCAGGGAGGGGTGGGGTGTCTCTGGAGAGCTCCCAGCTGGGTGAGTCACAAGCTGCCCTCGAGATCTGGGGTGGGGGCCTCTGGGGGGATGTGGCAGGGGTGCGTCATCGCCCACTGAACCCCAGCCCCTGCCCCTGCAGCTGTGCTCCTCCGGCGCCCCCTGGTGGTCGCTGGCCGTGGCTGGCCAGCCATCCCGGGGGTCCCAGAGGCAGGTGGCCACTAAAGGCTGACTCACCTCCCAGCCAGAGCTCTGTGGGAGAGAGAAGATTCAAGGTCAGCAGAGTCCAGGGGGTGGGTTGGAGGGCGGGGTCTGGGGACCAGGGTCCTGGGCCCACCTGGTGCATGATCTTGGTGAAGGCTTCCTGCAGTTTGCCGTGCACTGCGGCCAGCTTCTTGTAATCCCGGTGGGCTTCCAGGATGGGGATAAGGTTCTTATAGACCTCATTCACCGCCTCGTAGAGCCCGCCCTGAGGGAGGTGGTGGCAGTGAGGATTCCCCAAACCCTGCCTCCTGCCTGGAGCACCATCCCCAATTGCTCCTACCTGCTCCACCTCTGGTGTTCCCACCAAGCCTCCATCACCTCCTCCAGGAAGCCCACCCAGATTACCCCCACCCCAGATGGGACACCAGTCTTCCCACTGGGCCTGCATAGATCCTTCTGTGGTCTTCACCACTATTCTGTTTTCTTTTTGTAGAAATGGGGTCTTGCTATGTTGCCCAGGCTGGTCTCAAATGCCCAAAGTTCTGGGATTACAGGCTTGAGCCACTGCGCCTGGCTATTTTTAACAAGTGTTTGCTATGGCCCAGGTGCTGTGTCCATTTGCATTTACCCGTGTTTCCTCATTGATGGCGGAAGCTGTTTTTTGTTTTTTGTGTTTTCATTCCTCAGAGGGGAAGTGAGCCTCAGAGACATGAAGGGGCTCCCAAGGGCCAGGACCCAAATGCCAGCCCTTCTGACCTAGTGTCCATGATCTCCACGCCCAACTGTGTCCTGGCAGGGAATAACAGCCACATGTGGGTGCCCCATGCCCTTAACCAGGGCATGAAGCCTGGCATATGGGGGGCACTTTGCGATGTTTGCTGACTGACTATCGGAAGGTCTGTGTCTACTCTCTAGCTTTTTTCCCTTAGGCTTTTGTCTCCGAGACTCCGGCAAAGGGACAATAATGAAAACAACATCACCACAGAAGAAGAAATCTCCCTAGAACACCTGACCTTGAATCTGACCTTGAATCTGTCCCCAGATGAAACTACCAGTTCCCCAAAATGGGAAGAACTGAGAAACAGGTGAGGTAACAACATGGGGACACAACCAGCTCCACACACACCAGAACACCCCTTGGGGCAAAGGTCCCAGGCCACCAACAAGTCAAATACAGAAGCAATCAATTGCCTTTATGCAAATAAGCAAACCGAAGGGGAGAACTCCTTTATGACAGTGGAAAAATCAAATGTTTAGGCATCAGCCTGTCAAGAAATGCATAAAATCCTCATTTCAAAAAGGAGCGGGATGTAGGTAGGTGGCTCATGCCTCTAATCCCAGCACTTTGGGAGGCCCAGGCAGGAGGATCGCTTGAGCTCAGGAGTTCGAGACCAGCCTGAGCAAGAGCGAGACCCTGTGTCTTGAAAACAAAATAAAAATAGGCCAGACAGGGTGGATTATGCCTGCAATCCCAGCACTTGGGGAGGTCAGGGCAGGAGGATTGCTTGAGGCCAGGAGTTCGAGACCAGCCTGGGCAACATAGCAAGACCCTGTCTCTACAAGAAAATTTAAAGAATTAGCCAGGCTTGGTGGCGTAGTCCCAGCTACTCAGGAGGCTGAGGCAGGAGGATCCCTTAAGCCTAGGAGTTTGAGGTTGCTGTGAGCTAGGATGACGCCACTGCACTGTAACCTGGGTGACAGAGCAAGACTCTATCTCAAAAAAAAAAAAAAAAAAAAATCCCCAGCCTGGAAGGGTTGAGGTGGTGGAAGGGATGACACCTTCCCAGCTGAGCCCACCCCCTGCAGCCAGTCCCCAGGGCCTCACCATGGTGAAGTAGGCGGCCGCCTGTTCCAGCAACCCCACCAGCCCCAGCTCCGTGAAGTGCTTCCCGGAGCAGAAGCCCTCCTCGTCGGGTGACAGGATGTCATCGGAGATGGCAGACTCCTCCAGCACGTTGGACGAGATGTTCTGCGGTGGGAGAGGTGGCATCAGACCCCGGTCCCTGCCCCACGAGTGCCGCCACCCCCTGCCTGCCACCCTCTGGCCACTGACCTGGAAGGAAACGCAGCCCACCGGCAGGTGGCGGCGGTCCTCGAGCAGGGCCAGGTACTCGGCCACCAGGGCGGCGGCGTGCACCATGCACTGGGCGGCCTCCGCGTGGTTGCCCAGCTCCGCGTGCTTCCCCGCCATGTTCTGCAGCCACGTCAGCCGCAGGTCCGGGGAGCCCTGGTAGCCCCGGGCGATCCTGGTGTCCCGGTGAGGGGCGTGGATGAGGGAAGAGGACTCACCTGGTCCTCCCACGGCTTCTTACTTGTCCGTCCCCTTCACCAGTCACCCCTGCGGGCCAGCCTATGTCCTCACTGTACCCTGTTCCCTCCCCTGTTCCCATATCTGTCTACCCCTTCCCTGTCTCCCCACCTGTCCATCCCCTCACCTGTCCATCCCCTCACCTGGCCATCCCCTCACCTGACCGTCTCCTCACCTGTGTCCTCACCTGTCCATCCCTTTACCCATTCCCCTGCCTGTCCAACCCTTACCTGTCTTCCCACTCACCTGTCTCCTCACCTGTCCATCATCTCCCCTCTTCCTCCTTTGCCCTGTCTCCTCCCTCATCTAACCCCTCACCTGTCCCTCCCCTTCTCATTTTTCACTTGTTGCCCTGCTCACCTGTCCCTCTCACCTGTCTGCCCACCTGTCCCCCTCACCTGTCTGCCCACCTGTGCCACCCTCACCTGTCCCCTTCACCTGTTCTTATCAACTGTGCGTTCACTTGCTCCCTCCTCACCTCCTCAGACATCCACTCCTGTCCCTCTCACCTCCTGCTCTCCCGTCCCCTGTGGGTGGGTGGGCGTGGCCGAGGTGCCGCCTGGCCGGCCGTACCTGTACATGAGGTCAATGAGCATCTCGGGGTCCTCCTGGTGCTCCTTCATCTTCACCGTGTCGGTCAGGATCATGTGCAGGTTGAACATCAGGTCCTGGACCTGGAGCCGGGCAACGGCGGGGCCAGTGAGGGCGCTGGGAGGTGAAGGGGGCCAAGGAGGTGGATGGGGGTGACCGAGGGGAGGCGGGGTGGGGGCCCAACAGGTGTCACCTGCTCGGCGAAGGTGCTGTCCCGCAGGCCCACGTCCTCCTCGGCGTAGGTGAGGATGGTTTTGAGAGAACGGCGCAGGTGCTCTTCGCTGAAGTTCTGCGTCGTCCCCACCAGGGACGAAAGTGACATGGTCACCTGCATCTTCACTCGGGCGAAGTTCTACGGGGGCAGAAGAGGGAGAGCGGGCAGGTGAGCCTCGGACCCCAGACCCTCGCGTGGGAGCCTGCTCACCATGCCAACGTGGCCATCGCGATCTGCCAGCGACGCTCCATGATGCCTCTCCCCTCCCCCCCCATGGTACCGAGACCCCCACGGGCCTTGTGAGGACCACGCCCCGGCCGCGCTCACGTGGCCAATCTCGAAGTTCTGGCGCATGAGCAGGTAGAGCGAGGCGCTGGCGTGCGTGCGGATGGTGCTGATGCGGCTGCCACAGTGTCGCAGGAGCCTCAGGCACAGGTCGGCGCACAGCTCCGTGTCCTCCTCGAACAGTAGCTCTGGGAACTTCCCCCCAGGACCCCAACAGACACAGTTCAGCCAGGACCCCAACAGACACAGTTCAGCCCCTCCTGGTTCTGGCTCAGAAGGTCCCAAGTGGGGACCCGGGCAGGGGCACCTGTCTGTGTTCTGCCCCCTTCAGCCGAGCACAGCTGGCTCTGCAGTTCAGACCTGGGTTTAAGCCCTTGCTGTGTGACCTTGGGCGAGTGACTTGGCCACTCTGATCCTCATTTCCTTCCTCTGTTAACTGTGGCAAGGTGGTCTCTGCTCCATGAAGTTGCTGAGCACACATTATGTGCTCAATGAATGAGCTACTATCACTATTATTATTCGATTTTATTTTTTTAGAGACAGAGTCTCTTGCTTTGTCGCCCAGGCTGGAGTGGCGCAATCATAGCTCACTCCAGCCTTGAACTCCTGGACTCAAGTGATCCTCCTGCCTCAGCCTCCTGAGTAGCTGGTTCCTGCCACCATACCTAGCTAATTTTTAAAATTTTTTTGTAGAAATGGGGTCTCGCTATGTTGCCCAGGCTGGTCTCCAACTCCTGGGCTCAAGCGATCCTCCTGCCTCAGCCTCCCAAAGTGCTGGGATTACAGGCGTGAGCCACTGTGCCTACCGATGAGCTAATATTATCATTCTAAGAATCACAGTCGTCAAGTGGTGCTTACCTTGGACACCAGGGCCCGCTGGGTAGCCAGGCCATGCTGCAGGAAGAGGGCACTCTGGGCACTGCCCAGACTGTACAACACGACCTTTAGCACCGCACCCAAGACGCTCTCCCGGGCCTCTGACAGCATTACCGTCTGGGGGTAGGGAAGAGGGGGTCAGAAATCCAGGTGTTAGAGGCCGGCATGGTAACAGGGACAGGGAAGGAGAAGGATTATGGAGTCAGAGATCACAGGGCACTGCGGTGCACTCAGAGGACAGAGAAGATGCTGGATCACACCGTACCTGCACGATGATCTCCAGTGTGTCTAGAACCACCAGGCTCGCCTCAGTTGCCAGGTTCCCCTCCACCAAAGCCTCATGTTCTACTTCATCCTTGGTCCTGGAGGGGAAAGGAGGTCTTGGGTGGAGGGGGCCACTTGGGGCCACATCCCCACGCCACAGCTGTGCTCTCCCGTCCTTGGCATCCCAGGACGCACTGGCTCCCTAGAAACTGGTCTGAACGCAGCGAACCCCCTTCCGCCCACACTCACTTGTCTACGCGGTCTGAGGTCTGTCTCCAGTGTGTGATGCTCTTCCGCCAGCGGACGTTCTCCTGGTGCCCAAACGGGCTCCGCTCTGAGACGCACGGGCACGCACGTGTTCACAGACGTGCGAAAACAGAAGGCCACACGTGAGTGGGAGGAGAAGCGCGCAGGCACGAAGACACCCAAGTGGGGTGACCCGTAAGGACCCCAGGTGGATCAGAAGGCCGCACGCAGGTAGATACGAGTGACAGATGGGGACAGAGAGGCCTACGGGGATGGCAGTGACATGTGGACTTCTCTCCGGGAAAAGTGAGCCGGACGGAGGGTACGCATGGCCCCCCCTCATGGGGTCCCTTGGCCAAAGGCAGGGAGCGGCTGCTGGGGATGGGGACACATCGCCCACTCACCACGACTCCGTCGAACCATTTCTTGTCGGGCCCCGATGGTGCCCAGGATGGCTTCCTCGAGCCGCGCCTTCATATCCAGTGACTTTTTGAACGTGAGGCTGTTGATGCGCTCAAAGGCCTTTTTCCCCTGGGAGGGCAGAAAACTGGGGTTCGAGGTAAATTCTGTTCTTGGTAGGACCCGGGCGAGTCCCTCTCGCACCCTCAAGACGCTGTCCTTGAAGACACGGTTTACCCCTTTCCTCCAAACTCTCGTGAAGGCTCAGCGCAGAAATAGACCCCCCGACCCCTTTACCCTCCGCCCTGCAGAGTCCGCCGCACAGAGACGGCCCGCCGCACCCCGGGGCCCTGCAGAGCACGAACTGCACCTGTCCCTTCCGCTGCCACCCCCTGCCACCCCCTCGCACCTTGTACTCGAAGGCCGCCAGGCAGAGGTACAGCAAGTCCAAGAGACGTCCCAGCTGCGGGAGGGCCAGGTCAGCGGCCCAGCGCTGCAAGAGGGCTGGCTCTGCGTTCTTCAGAACCCACAGCACACACGCCAGCAGGGTCCGACTCGACTCAGCAGAGAGGGGACAGCCCGAGCGAGAAGCCTGCGGCCAGAGAGGGGACAAAGTTAATTTTCACTTTCTCCGCACGACTGGAGGTATCAGCCAATTTGTATCTCATTACGTAACTTCTGTCGCCCAGTGGGATGATGTCTATAAGGACAAGACTCAGACTCACCGTTGGGGGCCCCTGGGAGATGCTGGCCCGGGAGCCGGGGGCCAGGGGGCCACCAGCGATGGCCATGGCCACCGAGGGGTTGATGGTACCTCCAAAGTCCCCTTCGCCGTCTAGGTCTGAGTCAAGCATCGAGGCCAGTCTTGACCGCTGACCTGGGCCCTCTGGGGGGACGGACAGGGCAGGGGAGAACAAGGCCTTGGTAAGTGCTGTCCCATCTCAAATCTCAGTAGTCTTTCCTCACACCACCCCGAGACCAGGTTGGGGTCTCTGGGTGTCAAATCCCAGAACGTCCTTATTGTACTTTTAATTAGATACATTAATAGCGCCACAGATTATAA